AAACATTACAATATGTTTGAAATTTTTAATGCATCTAACATCGGATAACATGGTTTAATTATCATATTATTTTATTACAGAATATTTGCAAGAGTAAACATGATGTCGACTATTTGGAATTTACATTGCATTTTTATCGAGACTGCGAAGAACAATGAATATTCTCTCCTTGTACAGCACAATTTATAAGAAACTTGATATGGTTTTAGTTATCTAACAAAAGTTAGATTTCTCCACTCTATATGAAGCCTTTGTGCCTTTTTAACCTGTCCTCTGCTTTTCATAGTTTACTCTTGTATTTTATATATCACATTGTATTGCAGTACATAGTATATTATTTACTAATAAATTAAACATAAAGTATACATAATTTTCAATTACAATTAATGTAACATATATCATTGTGCAGGAAATTTCTTTAAGTAGTGTATAAACAATACATACATACTTATATAGACATACACACACACACACATATACACACACACAAAATTATCTTATTATTCACTTATAAGAGTTGGCAATAATAATAAGCGAAGAAATAAGTAGTGGTTGATGGGTGCACCAATTCTTATTATATCTATAAATTTGTGTTGTCACAGCATATAAATATATATTTTTTGTATTGTTTTAATACTTTCAAGTCCAATTAATTATTAACAAATCAAATGCAAAATATTAAATAGATATAAAATATGAGATGAAGAAATATGTGCTATAACGTACTACAAAATGTATATATATGTACTAGTGTGTAAATCAGTTTTATAATTTTATACCCATCAACATGCTACATCTTCTAATTTATTGATAGTTTCTTATACGAAACTTATACTCAAGATCAATTGTAAACATGTATTTCTACACATAACAAATATCTTTTACGTAGTACACATTTTAATTTTTGATACTGATTTACAGATAACTCGTTGTATAAAACGTATTATATGAAACTATTAATTGCTAACGATGTTTTAGATATTCATGAAGTTGAATAAGCTTATTATCAAAATATTGTATCACATGAAAGCATCATAGTGTTTAAATTGTAAATAGTTTATATATCTACTATATAATTAATTTCATTTCACAATTATGTACAAATATTGACTATTTAATGTTATAATATGTTATATAATATTGTTATTCAAATAAGGAAACAGTTTATCGTTGGTTTTAATAATAAGTTATTTTTTAGAGTCTCTTATTCACAAAGAATGACGAAAATCACCAAGGCAACTAAATGTTTTAATATTATAGTTTGCTATACTATTTGTTTATTAAATGATATTATAGAATTGTGCGAGTTCCTAAAAATATTGTACAGTAAATATTTAATAGAGTCATTTACATGCACATATTCTGTCACACTTGTGTTAAAAATGATAGAAATACACATATGAATAGTTTAATAAAAGAAAATTCATTAGGAAACATTATTCCTAATTAACGCGTGCTAATTTTAATTTTATGTAATAGAATAAAATATCCAGATTTTTAATTTTTGTCTAATATAGCAACATAAAAACGTATACTTTCATTATTAAAATGTAACTCGTACAATGTTGTCAAAAACATGAGCAATCTGTAAGTAATTTATAAATATATATATATATAAACATCCTTGCCGTCCATGTGTATTCTGGCGAAAAGCAGTTTATACAGAAACTTTATAATTTATCGATTGATTATCTGTACTATATACTCAGAGCTCAGTGCACAAACTTGTGATGTATCGTAGAGAAACTAAAATTTGGATAATTATTAGTATATATTACTATCCATATATATATGTATATGTATGTATATTATATATATATATATATATACACATATATGCATATATATAAATTGTATAAACTACACTTTTACTTGTACAGTAATATACATTTAACTATAATTGATATAACAGTAATATAGTGTTGCTAAATAATATCTGCAAATTTTATTTATTAATTCAATTTATGTTGTTACAATACGTAAAATCTTTCTTTTGAAATTTATTCTTTTAGATAATTGTCTTACAGGGTATATCTTAACGTTTACACATGATAAAAAAAGTAAATTGTGGTAATATGTAGAAAAAATTCTTATTATATGTGACATAAGAAACCTGTATTTTCAGTCTGCACACGTGTGTTAATATATTTTGAATTTTTCTTTATGTCTAATATTTCTTTTATTGTTATTTATATAATGTCATTATTGTGCATTAATTTTGATGAAAATTGTTAATCTATTATAATTTTTTTATCTAATTATAATTTTTTAATGTACGTGAAGCTACAATATAATATTATAAAGCATTATAGATATAGATGTATTATATAGATAATTATATATAGAAATAAGAAGTATCTCATACATTATAAGCAAAAATATTTTTAAGTCTTCACTTGCGTATTCTGTGAGTAATAAATTTATATTCATAATTATATTGTGATTTATTAATTTATTTGATAATATATAGGATGTCCAATTTTAACTTATTACACCAATAAATTGTTTTACTTTTTATTCTAGAAAAAAATATTTTAAACAAAAGTGGAAAGAGAAAGGTATATTTTAATCACTTTCTTTTTTAGATAAAAAAAATAATATAGGTCAAAAGATAATTTTTGTCTAAAACATTTTTTTCTAAAATAAAAAATAAAAGTTTTTGTGGATAATAAATTAAAATGAGACTCTGTGAATATATATTCTACATATTTATACATACATATATTATAATATACTGAAATAAAACTATATAAAATTTCTATATAAATTAGAGGACATTCAAAAATTATACACTTAAATAAAAAAATTAAATTTGGAAAAGTAAAATTATTAAAATGTCTTATGGTTTGGAAGTTACAAATTGTGAAACAACTTTTTAAATTTGTAGAAACTATATATTTACATATGTAACTATATTTAGCACAATTATATTACTTTGAATTGCATTTTATAAAATATGTATATTCATACATAATTTTATCTCTTGGCCTAGACAATTATACAAGAGATCGAGCGAGAGATTTAGATATACGTTTTTTAATATTTAAAATATTATGAAAATATATTTTGGAAAAAATTATGAATTAAACTTCAATTTGAATCACGTTATTTTTTTATCATATTTTTTCTAATAACTAATAATTTTAAAAAATAGTATTTTAAAAAAGATAACTTTAATTCTTATAATCTTTTATATAATTATCGTGTAGAAGGAATAAATTAATTACAAATATGTAATAATTATGAATATATATTTTAGGGTATTATTCGAAATAAAATAATATTAAAAAATTATATTTGTATATGTATTTATATACATATTTATATATTTATGTAATGTATCATTGTAATATAAAAATAAGTTCAAAAATAGGAATATTTATAAACGCATATTTATTCCAGCATCAGCAAAATACATATTCAATACATATTATGTACTGTTGAAGCAATGAAAAGATCATATTTGAAAGGTTATGAATACATTGTTGGATTTATACTCGGTAAAGTTTAATAAATATATTCTGCGAATACACGCGCGCATGTGGTGTGTGTTATATAAAAATGCATACGATATTTCTTTTTATTGAAACAATCTACTGAATTCTTGAATCGAATATTGAAATATTCAATCCTTAAAAAGGATCTACATATTATATTCTAGAATATTTATATTCGTGCAATGGTGCTGGATAAATTTAATTATTTTCACGTATTTACACGTATCAATATAAAATTTTTTTACAATATTTAAGTGAAGTAATACATTGTTTCAGAGAACTCTTTTATGGTCGATAATGATCGTAAAAGCGCGTTAAAAATCTACTTATATATTACTTAAATCATATCAAAGAGTTACTTTCAAATAAATTTTATAAACAAATAAGTCATAATATATAAATAGCGTATACACAATATATAAAATAAATATAGAGGAATCACAGATCATGTACGTTTTACAGTCGTGAGTCTTTAAAAAGTATATATACAATTTATATTATAAAATCATATATAATTTACAAATTCGTACGTATTACGAACAAGACATGATAAAATAATATTAAATATCACAATCATATAAATTCTGTTTTGCGTTGTTCTATATGTTCAAAATGAAAGCTATACATATATATTTTTCTCACATGTCCATTTGCGCATAAAAATTTTTCTTTTAATAGATCCTACATTTTGTAAATTAAACCTATAATTATGATAGTTTGCAATTAAAAAAACAAAAGGATACATAGGTAAATTAAATGTGAATAATTAATTTTGTATTACTGTACATTGAAAAATTTTGAAATACAGAAATGCGTTTCGCAGGCTATTGCATGTCTCCAAATTCGTTTTTAGAATGCCAACATTTTGTGAACATTGCAGTTCATTTCATCAGGGCGAGGAGCAGTCTGATACTTAAGTAAAAATGAATTGCAATGTTCACGAAACGTTGGCATTCTACGAATGGATTTGGAGACACGGAGATAATTCGCAAAACGTAATTATATATATAATTTCTGTATAAAAAGTGACCAAGTGCAGGTCTCAAGAGTATTAATTTTGAAATACTCTGTAAGAACATAGTTAAGATATATTCAAATGATATAACATTTCCTAATTCTTTTTCTCTCTCAATTGAATGAGATAAATAATGTCTAGTAAAAAGATTATACTTCGTATACATTAGTAATATACAATTATTTGGATACATGTCGTTACGTTTTATTAATTATACCTATAAATATATATATATATACATACACATATATACGTATAATATTCGTATATTATAATACATACACATATATACGTATATATATACATATAGTAAAACATGTAACACATATTTCTGGACATAAATTTTACAAATATAAGTTACATAGTTCTTTACTAAGAACGATTATTATCAACCACTATGGTTCTTTTTTCAATTATATCACTAATATTAACTACTTCAGAACCTAACTACTTTAAATAAACAATAAAAAAATTTATACATAGGCTTTTGTGTTATTTTATGCATAAACTTTATCGCATCGTAACACTGATGTGAATTATGTTATTCTTACGTGTTATTGCACCGCTGTAATACCTATTGCGAGATCATATGTATATTATTTAAAAAAGTCAATTTAGTATTATTTTTCTTTTTTATATTCTTTTTGCTCATCTGACGGTTCTTCACGAACGGCTAATACCATTCTTAACATAAGAATGGCGAGTAATTTGTCTAAAGGATCCATAAATCCTCGTTGTATCCATTTTGGTATCGTCGTACGTGCGTGGGAAAATCCCAATTTTTGAAGGATATAATCGATTCCATAAGGTTCTATACTTTTGCCGGCCCACGACAATAGCCTTGATAAATTAAGAAACTTTTGCATTATCTTAGATGGCTTTGAAAAAACTGTACTTCAGCAATAACTTACCTTACTGTTGGTTCTAAATGCCACGTTTTACATCTATATGAACGCCAGTCTTTTATAAACATTTCAGCTGGATCAAATTGTTTACGTTTCTTTTCGTCTTCGGCAGTAACAGATACATTAGATATATTAACTGTATTTATATTTTTTCTTTCTTGTGGATCAGGACTATGTGCTCTTGCACCCATATTCTGCATTGTATGCTATAATATAGAAAATTTCATAAGAATAAGAATTTTTTTCGAGCTAAATAAGATTCAGATTTAAGATTTTGAATTTACTTTCAATAAAGCTCTTACCACTCTTTCTTTTTCTTTCACATATGACGTAATAAGATCATGTAGGAAGAAAAAGGCTTCAGCATCAACAGTAACAAATATGTGATCTTCAAATTCTGTTATAAAGCTGCATTCAACTAATGGTTTTTCGCCTGCAAATTAAAATAATAAAACATAATCATAATTTTCAACAATGATTTTTAAGATTGTACGTTTTTACATATACTACATTATTTTGAAGTTATTCTCATGAAATAACATCTTATTATTATAGCTAAGTTACATCTAAATAGTAAAACTAATTTCTCATGCTACTTAAGCATTATTAATTGTTTAACTATTTTATATATATATATATATGTATAAGATTATATAGTTTATTTCAAAATTATAAAAATTTTTAAATAAACTCTATATAAACTTGATTATATCATCTTGACAATATTATGCTTAATTATAATAATTGAGCATAATATTAATTAAAGCGTAATATTATAGCTTAAGCAATTGAAAAGAACTATAAATTTTAGTTTATTTGTCACTTTGTGTACGTGTTCGTGTATATGTGTGTGAACTATTTAAAAAATTTATTATAAAAATGTATTAAATAAGAGATATAGGTATAAGATAATAATAACCAATACCTGTATACCGATATACAGATATCGCTTAAGCATTTATTTAAACATAAAAAGCATACTAAATATTCTACCGTTTTTTATCATTCCAAATATAATAAACTTCATATACTTACTATATAAAATATGCTTAGGAAGTCCTAAAAATATACGAAAGAACCAATTGCAGAATAATTAGCACAGTGGAAGGACATGTAATATTATACTTTGTGCTTAGTGTGTTTTAACATAAAAGAATTTGTACTAGATGTTACACTTATTAATATAATTTTATATAATAAACAAAACCTCTATATACGAAAAATTAAAACGTGTTTGTTGCACATTTATATTTAGCTTATTTTCGTATTTTATTGAAAGTTTGATTGTATTAAAGCAGCAATTAAATATTTATATAATATTATTATTAAAAAAGCGATTAATATTACACAGATACAATATATGATATATTTTAAACAATTAGGCAGCAAAAGTGATTATTTTCAATTTACGTACCTATAACATCTGGCGTTCTAGCTGTTTGTAAATGTTCAGTTTTTAGATGAAGCTGCAATGAAGGCAAGGCAAATATTACTTCTCGTGTATGAGAATGTTCTTGCAATTTGCCAGACGTTGAAGACGTGCTCCTTCCACGTGATACATTGCTACCATCAGATGTAGTGTCCACTCTGTCCCTCTCGACACACGGAAATCTGTCTACCGCTATTTGATGAAAGAGATAAGAGTTAAATAAATATATAAAATTTCACAAAAAACACGAAAAAATAATAAATTACTTTTATATTTTATACGTACCATCAATTTCACTACTAGCAAATGCATAATGAAACCACTCTTGCAGAGATTTAAATTGCGGTGGAAATAAAACGCTTCGACTTAATCTACACACTGTTGCCATGGAATGATGTCTTGCATGTTGTTCCTGTTGATGTCCTAGACTGATGGTTAACGTCTGTACGACGTGAACGTCATATGTGGTAGGTGCTGCGTATAAACAAAATTAATTTATGATACACTATTGTTATAGAAATAACATAATGATTATTTAATATTAATTACTTTCAACACTTGGGATTTCTTGGGCTTCTGTAGCAAAACTTATGCAGGGTTCTTTTAACGAGAACAAAGCCCAACTTTTGCTTTTAAAATTAATTCCGTGGAAACATGCTAAGCTAATATTACAGCCATGAAGTTCCATTGTACCACCAAGGACGGTACCAGTTGACGGTAAAGAAAACCTTAAGCTTCCTAATTGAAGACCAGCTACTTGAGTTAATACTCTTTGCCAATGTCTATGATGTCTAGCATCTGATATCGCAGTCTGGTTCAAACTCCATGGACCACCTATAATAAATTTAATTAGTATCACAATTTTTTTTATTACAACAATTGACAAATATTAATAGTTTGACTTTACCATCAACAGCAGATTTCTTCTTTTGTTGCCTTTTCTTAATACTACTGTTATTCATTCTTTGATGCTTTGGTTGTAAGGAACTAAATACACGTTTGCTACTTTTAAATTGTTGACTGAAAAACTCATCCAGTTTGTAAAACATTTTTAATAAATCGGCTGTTGTTGATTTACTGATCATAACTTGTAGTTGATCCCAACCCAAATCGCCGTGCATAAAAATAATAGCGGGCCTGTACAAACATATATGTTTATAATTACAATATTTGTAGGACCGTTAGTATTCAAACAATGATTAAATAAAGGCCGAATGACGTTTCGTATATATATATATATATATGCATCACTTTTTAATGTTTAATTTCGACAAAATAAAATTGCATTTTTTTGCTTATTTCTTTAAAGCAATGCATTAACTTTTATATGATTAAATTAAAACATACCTTCGGGTTGGCATGAAAGCATCACCACTGCTACTACGATTAATTTTCCATTCATCTCTAAGAGTAACATCCAATGAAGACACTCGAGACATTAGTACACTTGTTCCCATATAATCCAATCGTAATTCTAATGCAAATAATTTCAATCCTACTGTATGATCAGGTTCTATTCCAGGTTCTTCTCGAATATGTACTATAACAATGCGTATAAAAATATACATTAAATTTTTTATGATGATATATGAATATACAAAAATCTAATTATTTAAAACTCACTGTAAGTATCAATTCTACTTAATTCAATTGTCCCACCAACTATACCACCTTTCGCATCTAAACTTGATCCTCCTAAGCCAATGCCTATATACAAATTTTTATGTCCCGTACTGCCAATAGATAGTCTTCCGTCCGATCTGAAATCTTTTGTCATCCAACTAACATTACCCATTACATTACCCATATTCATATGAACATTAAGACGCGTAAAATTCACTGCAAATAACACTAATGTTTCCCACGCGGATTCTCTTAATTTGACTTCAGACGACACTTGCTTGTCTGTGGTGAAACTCCATCCTCTTCCAATATCTGATAAAAATAAAAATAACATTTAATATAAATTTTAAGTTCACTCTTTTGCTAATTGCGCGAAAGCAGATACCTTTTAATCGTGGAGGTCGTGGCATATCATTTTCCAAGGTTAATTTCAATTTTTCTCTATTTAATATAGGACTTCTTTCAGATGCACTTTTTGATAATGAATCGTGCCTATCATAATGTTTCAATAAGGAACTACCCATAACTGCTTCTTCCTGATTTAATGGAGGACTTCCATCCCCTTCGGAATATGCAGCACCTGAACTTAAATCTCCTAGAAATAAGCGTCTCACTATGCTACGTCGATACCAAGCCTTCGGAAATGCCAGAATTTCTGTTAGTCGACGCATGTCATATTTAAATGAAGCAGATCCAATATCAATAATTGCTGAAAATTAATATTACATTAAAAAATTTATTAAAACAATTGTTAACATATTTGAATAAATTAATAAATTATGCTCGTGATATTTCGATTTACATTATGTACATACTTGAAAATCGTATAACAGCACGACTAGTATCCGAAAGCTTCTTAAGCTGTTCGCTTTGAAAATTCAATTTTCTGCTTCTCGACAAGTGAAATTTGACAAATTCGACGTTGATGCTTAACGAATCTTTTCTCTCACTGTCTGATAAAGGCGACCATTGTGCTTCTTTTAAACCTGTTTTCTTTCCGCCACCATACGGATGAAAAATATAAACGGAAAAATCCGCTAAACAACCTGTGACAGATAATCCACCAATAGCTGAACCTATTTCTTTGCCTGTTGTCTGAGACTTCAATTCTCGAAACTCTATTAACTCTTCCTCAGCACGTTTTGATGAAAATACGATATCAAGCGATGGTAACTGTAGCATACATTCTACTCGTGAAACTGGTAAAGATGAAAATCTATAAAAAAACATTATAATTTATTAATAAATAAATCAGACTCTTCAAAATTTATATAAAATATATTGCCTAGTATACCTAAATGTAGACGGTTGCATATGAAAATATACTATGACATCAACGGGAAAACTGGCATAAACATAATTGCTGTTTGCAGCAGTGGCAGCCCATGATGTGTTTTCCATATTTTCTAGCAGAAAGCCAGCATTTGTTTGCACGTTACTCTGGAAATTATTCTTGCTTGGAATTGGTTCTAAGGTTTGCTCTAAAAATTCAAGGATATGAGGACTAATAATAGTTTCTTCAGGAATGCTTTGAAGAGTCATCCAAGCAAACAAACTGGCTTTTTTAGTACTAGATTTTCTAAGCACTGTAATTGGACTTAATAAACTGTTCTCAGCAGATATGCGAGGAGACAATGATTCTTCTGGAAGTGTCTTGGATTCATAATGAACCTGCAAAATAGTTTTTTCTTTATACCATTATTTAAAGAAAATGTATAATTATTGATAGATAAAATGTTTTTTTTAATTTTACCTTAACATCCAAACCAGGAATATGAAAAATTGTTAAATCTACTAAAGGCACACTTGCATGTTGCAGATATTTCAACCGAGATGTACTAGTTGTTGACGGTTTCTCTTTACTATTTAAATGTTTTCTACTGCTACTGGGACTACCAGGTTGAAATTCGAATGTACCACCAGAACATGATCTTTCTTTCTTCATTCTACTTAAGCTATAAAGGAAAAAACATTTGTTATATACAAATGCAATTGTATAAACTATTCCAGAAAGTACTAAATTAAAAAATTGAGTATATAATAAACATTTATACAAACATATCTCTTTTTTAGGACTATCAAAATATGCGTCTTTCCATATTGTTTAGAAATTGTTAAAGTTATTAATTTATTTAACATTATATATTAACATTATATATTAGATATTTACAGTTTAATTTCATCTTCTTTCCCTGGATCTTTTGTGTGTAATACGCATTTTCCGCTATTAATTAAAACTTTGACATCAAGTTCAAAATCTATATTAGGTTCTTGAGTTTTCTGGGTAATAAATGGAGAAGATGTCGATGAAACTTGCTCTTTTCCAAATGAATCTAATAATGGTGCACTGCAAAGAGAAAATAGTGTAATATGTATATGTTTGTATGTATATTATTTAAATTATTGAGAGAACACATACTTTCCCTCCATACTGTCATAACTTGATGTACAACTAATATCTTTATTCTTTTTTCTCAATTCAACTCGTTCTCCTTCGATCTCAATAGTCTCTGGCCATTCTAATCCTCCTTCTGGTAAACTCAAATCAGAACTAGCGCTAGGTAGAGATGATTGCCTGATAAATATTACAAATAATTAATTTATATCTTTTTGGGGGGACTACGTATATTAGTATATAAATTCACGCGAAATTATATATAAGGAATTAAAGATCCAAGTTAGATTGTTATAGGCTTTGTATTCGTATATAGTTATATCTTTTTATTGTTAATATGATGTTTCAACTATACCTGCACATTGTATGTGTATCACTAAAAGTAACTCGTGGTCCGCTAAGCCCTCTTACTCGCAAAGAAGCTGACCTATACATCAAATTATAAAAAATAAATAAACGAGTTATTTAATTAAATATTTAATATGTATAGATAAACAGAAATATTCGAAAAAATGAAATTATAAAAATGTTAAATAATAATTATTTAAAATTGAATATATAAATACATACCGACTGGGACCGCTTCTAGGACTGCTTTCGTAACTTGCTGAATTTGCTGAATTAATTTCCGTATTTAGATCTTCTGGACTTTCTAAATGATGTTCTGGTGTAGGCGAAGGTACAATAAATGATCTTGAACGATATGTATTCGGTTTGCTACCAAGACCTAATTTACCCTTAATACCAGAAGCTTTCACCGATTGTCTTCTTAGCTTTTGAATCATATCCCTAGAGAATATATTTTCACATAAGTCCAAATATGTAAGTCCAAATATATAAATTGACAGAAAAAAGTCATTTCATCACGTACCTTCTAAAATCTTTGAATACCATCGCTTCTAATTCATGTAGCCGTTTCATTTCCTGCTCAATTGTCCCATGCGAAGCGCCCAATGATCGCAAATCATTTATAATTTTTGCTTGTTCGTTCATTTCTTTCTCTATTAATTGTGATCGCTTCTTCGCATCGAGAGTAGGATCAAAGATAAATGCTGGGAGACTGTCCGTCCAATTTTTTGATTTTTTCATTAATATGCTTTCCTGTAAAAGTACATACAATTTTGATAAAAAATATCGCTTTAATTTAATATTGAAATAATAAGATTTAAGAAACGATCATGCAAATCATCTTAGATATATAATACATTGTTCAAGCCATCTTGAACAATGTATTATATATTCATTTTACTATCAAGATTTAATTAAAATTTTTTATATACAGTTTTATATATAAATACTATGTAAGACATGTCTTATCATTACTTACATTACTTACTTAAACATAATGTACAAAAGCCGCGCGTATAAATGAAAAAAAATAAAATTAATTAAACCATACTTTTTTCTTAACCTGGCTAGTGCTATTTTCTGGTTGATCTCCATCGTCGCTGTCATAATCTAAAGGAACGTGAATATCATCTTCTTCTTCAGAGCCAGTTAGCATCGTTAATGTATGTCCAAGAGCTGACAGCTGTTGTCCTACATTGACATCAAGATGAATATCAACTCCCTCCATTTGCCATTGAACGTTTAAGATCCATTTAGCATTATCTAGAAAAAATTATTTTTAAAAAATATATAGAAAAGAAAAATATAAAACTATTTATGCTTCTATAATAGAAATGTTATTTTTATTAAGTATGCAGATCGTACCAGATTTATCCTGTTTTTGAGCGATAGTTCTACTACACACTTCATAAGTACCTTCGGATACGACACATAAATTCATTATATTACTATCGGTCATATCTGGTTTCCAATCGTCCAAAGAAGTTTCAAAGTCTTCTGCAAATCTCAAGCATAATCCTACGAACCTAATGAGAAAAACATAATTTAAAATATAAATATGTAAAAATATCAAGAGTTTATAAATTATATACATACCTTCCTTTACTAACTAAACTACCGCTACTACATGCGGATATGCTTGTATTTTCAAGTGTTACTACAACAGCACCTCGCGATTCTCCATCATAGAGACCTCTATTTAATCTCCAATTATTTGGTGGTAAGGGATTAAGCGGCACACATATGCCCATATCATCGACTGTTAATTGCAAAAATAATGTTCCAAGATGAGGTGAACTGAGCTGACTCGTCAGTTGTCCGAATGGAACTTTTTCAAATACTTGTTGAGTAGCAGTTAACACTTCTTTATTCAAATTAGATCGTTTTTCATTCCAGTATTCATATGCATTTTTATAATTTAACCAAACGAGTATAGCTTTATCGATAGCGATCGGTTGTATATAAATCAGTGGACGTTTAAGAGTAATTAAAAATACTTCCTTGTCTTCTTCCTGAGCCATTTCCTCTTGAAATGCATTTCGTAGTCCTATTCTAGTATTGAAGAAAGCAAACTGTTGAAATTCAGGCTCTGCTTCTTCAAATAATACATTTTTCAGTAATTGTCCCAGGCTTAAATTAATATCAACTTGTGCTTTGCCAAATAATTTCATGTAGGGATTAGGTTGAGTAGCTCCAGAAACATTTTGCACTCTATTAGATAATTGAAATTCTACAGCGCCGGTTTCTAACCTCACTGCCGAATTTGTTGGCGTTGTTGCAGTCAATTGAATCCTCTACAAAAAAAAAAAATAGTTTCCTTTATGAGAATTAAAATATTGTCATAATAAAATTAGTAGGTACAAATTAATAATGATTTCACAGATAATAATATAAATTTATAACGATATATAGCTATAAATTTATAACAATTTATAAATTTTCAACAAAGCAGGACAAATATAAGAAAAATTTTGTAAAAAAAATACCTTAATACGTATAATCAGTGAAAATAAAATTCGTTTTAAAGTAGAGCTGGTTGATTCGTCGTCTTCAAGCCACAAAGGTACTGGTTTTTCGCCTCCGTAAACTTTCTGTACTACCTCGTTTACCTCTTTCATAAATACTTTTTGTACAAATACCAAATGGTTTAAAAGATCCGTCGTTAAAGAATGCTCAAATATTCCGATGTCTGCAGTTGCACTTAGGTAGCTACCTTGTCTTAATACAACACCATCTGCAAAACAATCATAATTTTATTTAAATAAAACACAATTGTTGAAACATAAAATACATGATTTATATATTATTTACCTGCTAGTTTACTATCATTCAAGTTACTGCTTCCATCCTGGATGTATTCGGCCGAAACATGTACTTTAGGTAATTCGATACTTGCTTCAGATGGTAAGTTCGCTTCTGTTACTTGCAATTTCGTCGTGAAACTCAGATTATGATGAGGCAAGTCTATAGTAAATTTAGCCTTGCTACCTGTTATGCCAGAACTATTCACCTGATCCATCTTGTACTGAGCTTGAAGAGATGGTAACAATGCCGCAGTTATACTTAGGCTTTGAAGTATTATGTGGAATTGCATAACAATAGGTTCTAAAAGACCAGATACGGCTTGTGGTTTTTCTACGCCTATCGAAGGAGCAGGTGCGTAATGATGTGGACTGCCTGAAACAGCATCTACATCATCTTGTTGTTGTCCTCGCGACATTCTTGATGATGTTCTAGTAACTCTTAATTCCTAAAACAAGATGTATTTTCTTTTTATATATATTTCCCTTAAGAATATAAAAGTATTGTTACAAAATTAATATTTACCTGTAACGTTGATGATAATTGTTTACTGCCTCTAGTCATCATTCCATGCAATGCTACAGGATGCTGCGGTATATCAATATTTACAGCACCGACAGTCAATAAACCGCTATTCTTGTCCTTTTGACGCCTCGTAATACTGGAATATAGAGCTTGTGATTTTCCAACAGTAACTTTTACAACTGTTTGTTGATTAGGGGCAACGCCTTCCAACAAAACAATCATGGTTCTTCCGATTTGTCCAGTCATACTACATTCTAAACTCGCAGGCCGTGATTTCTTACGGCAAGTTAGACTAGAATGTAGACTAGTAATTTCTGCTTCAAGTTTTAAGCCACTTAAAGTAGCTAATAATCTGGTTCTATGGATTCGTGCAACGCCAAAAATAATTAGCCTTGTTCTTTCACCTGTTACAATATCTATAAATAGCATTCGATTTAAATTAAAGCTAGCAAGATAAAAATATTGAAAAAAAAAAAACTAAAATATATTCTATACTTACTTAACTCTCTTGATGGAGGAATTGGCGTTGAACTATTTTCAGCATTTAATCCTTTTTCAATATCAACATCTTTGGTTTCATTCAAGATTTCATACTTTCTTCCACTTTTATAATGTTCCGCTGCATCTGCAGATATCGAAAATCGATGGGTAATAGTTTTAGTTTCCGGACGAGTTGCGTACAAATCCAAAAGGTAGTATATAGTTTTCCAACATCGTGGCGTTAAGTGTGCGCTATCTTTACATGTATCCGGGAATTTATCCAAACCAGATCCACTAGGGCTTGCTCCAAAACTGGGCGTGATAACACCTTCACTTAAATTAATATAGCCCTTTACACTTTTGCCAGTGCTTCGTAATTTTTGTGCAAAACTTTGTGGCCGAGAGCGCACAGTTGCACCTGGTAACGCTTTCGATTGATTCGGTTCAAAACTGCTACGAAGCAACGGTGCTTCAATCTTTTTGCTGCCAGTAAGGAACTGTTCTTGCAGATCAGATGCTAGAAAAATAACATTTTATTAGCTGCAAAATAAATTGTACAAATAATTATTTATAATTAAAATATTGTATATTTACTCGATGATGAGCCATTTTTTGCAACGTTATCATTAACATTAATTATGTTAGTGTTACGTTTTCCTTCAGGCTGTTGCTCCTTTAACTCCATCTGTGTCTCTTTAACATTCTGATACATGTTACTTATTTGATGTAATAATCTAAGAAGGGGCATGTTTACTTGCTGACTTATGTAACGAATATTTAAACTAATGTTAACCACTGTGCTAGTATGTTTCTTCAATTGACCTCTAGATATATATAGGACATTTTGTTTTTGTATCATATCATCTACTGTCATATCAGCCATCTTCTTAATATCGATATCTACACCAATCCTTTCGCATAAAAATGCTGGTGTCTCTGGTGGTATATCAAGATGAAATTTCGAGTTAGTTCCTTTTCTTGACTGACATTTGTTATCTGTAAAATAAAATAAAAATTATTTTATAAATAACATATTGTACATTCATAAAGAGTTTTAATAATTTCTAAGCTTACTTTTTTTTTTATCTGTTATTTTTCCAAATTCGCTCACGACTATGTCAATGCGCATAGTATCCATACTGCCTACAAGAGATAAATTTGAGCCTAATGAATCTAAGGAGGACAAATTATTTACATTTCCTGATCCGATAACTGATAACATCTGTTGTGGCATAACCGATAAAGATGACAAAAGCGGTTCAAAAATCAAATGTGCATCCAATAATCTTAGAGAGTCTTTCATTGGATACAGGAAAGCACCACTCTGTATATCAGAATCTTCAGTGTCGTCAGTAGTCATAGTGTTAATTTTTGAATCCTAAAAAAAGAATATTTTTACTCGGTCTTACATTGAAATGACATATCTATGTTATAAGAATGACAAAGATTGCGCCTTTTTAAATATACCTTTGTAGATTTTTGCTCTGTACGAAAGACCTACGTGAATAAAGGTAAGCAAATTTTTAGCATATAACAAATATATATATTGGGAGTACAAATTAGCTCGGTCCGTTTTCCAAAAGATGATCACCTCCAAAGACAAGTCATTTTTTCGAGATGGAATTCGAAAATTGCCTGAGAGATGGGAAAAAGTAGTAGCCAGCAATTATATATATATATATATATATATATATGTATATAATATATATATTAGAAATGTGAATATATATATATCTTCACATTCTTACATTATAATATCAGAAAACTATACATATCTTATGACATGATGACAGTGACTAGACTTACCCAATTTCCTTTTAAATTTCCTTTATCATTATCCTTTATAAATTCTTGCTGCTTTGCCATCCAGCTATACAGATCTTCCCCTGTATTTATAGGTTTAGTAGAATGACTTGTAGGAGATGTAACTTGGTCTAAACTTCCAGTGCTATGTTGACTACCATGACCTGGACCTCCAGAATAAATGCTAGGATTAGAACCAAGTTGATGTGAATGTGAAATATGAATTTGTGGAGTCTTCTCTTCTTTCAATGTTCCGTAACCTGGCACAAAAATAATTCACAAATTGAATAAATACAATTCTTCACATATAGATATAATTATCAATAATGACAATAATTAAGAGGTAACTATAAATAAAATAATAAATAAAAATGCAGTAATAATAAATATTCTTAAGACGCGTTCAAAGAGACAATAAATATATTCTAGACTCTAAAGTACCCTAGGTTAATAAAAGAAAAAGAAGTACAATAAAAGTACGTATAAAACTGAACGATGATAATTATATGCAAAAGATAAGATCATGCAGGACAGTTTAATTTTTCTTATTATTCCAACTGCTTGACTCAAAAATGAAAAAAAATTGCTAATTACTAGCTACTAAGAAAATTAAATAATTCATTCACTGTCCACTTACTTATGTTATTTGGTTCTCGTGTTTGACTGAACAACCCACCACTGGTGAGTAAGGGGAAAACAATACTTGCACGTGTACTAGCAGGCACTTGTGTTGGTTGTAACGTTTTTCCTCTCTTTGGATGAGCTACGGGTGGAGAGGGAGAGGAAAATGAATCCGGGCCTGGAACCGGTGTTGCTATAGGAGTCGTGTCTTTCCCGCGAGGAGAGCTTACAGGAACCGTCAAACCATCACCACACATACCTAGTCATTTCCACATGAAGCCAAAGCATATAAGGTTACATTATTCGTTAATTACGGGACTAACAAGCTAATCGATTAGAAGAGGCGTTTAGGCGAACATATATAAGCATTTATATACATGGGGTTAGTAAAAGCATTAAAAGCGAAATGATTTCTGATGAAATCATAATGACGAATACATATTCTGCGATTAATATATATCTTATTTAAAAAATATATAATGTTTTTTGTTACTGTTTATAGAGCATATCATAATAAATAATACATAGGTATGTACAAATAATTAAAATCGTTCTAATTCTTATACACATTACTTCAATAATTTAATTATCATAAAAATTGTTTTTTTCTCAAATGCTCTGCAAAAATGTATAATGCTATGTTTACTGTGTAATACCTGATGTTTTGTCTTGTCCGCCTTTGATATGTGTATGTTTATGCATATGGTCCGTATGGATGAGCATAGCACATTCATCTGTTACTTCCTGATCATCAACATCTCCTGCACTACCCTCCCCATCAGTCAACAGATTCTCCTACATCAGCACAAATCAAGACTCAAAATAATTTTTTAATATCTAACAAGTTTTGTTTTTCTCGATTAAGACAAGATAATTTTGTATAAAATTTATATTTGATTGATATTAACATGTAGTTATTATATTAAAAATTTTCTTTTTGGTAGTATTATAACATTATAAATTGTCTTGAAAGCATTTCAAAGCTGATCTTATAAAATAGCACAATATAATATGGTTAAAGAATTTGCGATATATAGAAATAATTATAAGAACATTTTCAAAAGCTATTCCATATATAATTATTTATTAAATAATCACATATATGTAGCTTGCAAGCATTGCTACACCTGCACCTATGATGTAAATGTATATATATATATATATATATAAGAGACAAAACAAAATTGCTGCGTTGAACATATATTACAATTTGTTAAAAGCATATTTATGTAACACATTTCTTAGCTATTATTTAATAACAATTTTGCAAGAAAATTTTAAAGCGTTTAGTCCAAAATTTTATTTTTAAAACAGAATATATAAAACTATCATGATTTGCATAATGCACAAATTTTATAAAAATATTCTTTATTGAAGGATTCTTACTCCTTTTCACATTGATTTCTTCCTCCACTTCTGTCTTATTTACTTGCTGAAAGAAGAAGTTCCTAGCAAATTATGCTCTTTCTATTGATAACTTTTGTGTATCTTAGATATTACGGGATACAAAATATATATAAACATTATTATAGATTATTAAATGTTAATTTTTAACCCTCATATCAATTTATATATTTATTAATATTTTTGTCAAAATATAAGATTCTACTTTACATCAGTATTAAAGTTCAAATATATATTAATTATATTTATATACTAATTTACATACAAAAATGTCTTACCTCATCAGGATCTGACACGGCAAATGTAACGTTTAATGGTTTAACATGTTTAGTTTTGTAATTGTGTTCCAATAATAATGGCGTATAAAGTATGTTCTTCCATTGCCTACTTAATACAATGACACCCTATAATATAAATATTAAGTTTATAATATTAACAAAAATACAAATTTTATATAAGTAATATTTGATAAAAGCATGTATTATATCTCAATTTAACAATTATTACTTGTCGGAGTGTAGAAAGGAGCGGTAGATCCGATTCTTTTAAGTTAGTCTCAATATTTATGATTTCAGATAAAAAAACATAATTTTGCAATATACTACATAACTGACAAGAAGGATCTTCCTGCAACGTTTTCGCTAAAGGTGTTAATCTTCCGTAACGACTCTGTAAACAAATATTCATATTAATAAAAATAGAAAATATTTTTTTTATTGCATCAAAATAAATCACATACCTTCAAAGGCATATGTATTCCTTGTACATCCAATGCTTCTGCCATAAGGCAGGCAACAATTGCGGTACATCTTCGATACATTGTTCTGAACATGTAAACAATACGAGTTGCAAATTTGTTACTAGGATTCATCCATGCATTTATCGCTGGCGATGCGGTACTGAGTAAATTCCAATCTAATCTTGTATAATCAATTTTTCTTGTTATTGGAGTACGTGGAGGTGCAGCAAAATTAAACCATACTGTTTTTAATTCAATAACGCATGATACAGTATTGCCATTTGCTACTTTAGACGTAAGACTGGTGCATGTCGCGCTCATATTCATTTGAGTGCCAGCAGATGCATTTGTCGGTTTTATTTCAGTTTCTGCAGCAGTTGTTGTGGACGCTAAAAATAGAATAAATTAAGTAAACAGAATATTAATGTAGTATCACTTAAATCATAGTCTTTTTTACCAGCAGTATTATTATCTAATTCGTCTTGGCTTTTAACACTGTCTGTGCAAAATACTTCAGCTTCATTTTTTTTATCACCATCACCATTTTCTCCTTTTTCAAATTGAGATCTCTTTACTATTTTCAATTTAATTCCCTCAAAACCACATTCAAACATAATAAACCCTAATCTATCTTCTCCACATCCCATTGTAAATTCTTCAGTAGCTTGCGGTGGTCCAATCTGTTTCTAAAATATATGAAAATTGTTATGTATATGCCGTATATTGTATAGTTTATATGTCATATATAGCAAAGTTTAATAATAGTATATTGCAAAATTTAATATTATTAAAATAATATTAAAATTTACATACATTCAGCTTTTCTTTTTCATCCATCAAGTAATGTAAATAATAATCAATACACTTTAATGGGGACGTCATTCTTGTGCAGGTAAATAATACTTTCGAATAATGTGCAGGTATAGCAGTTATCACTGCATCCTTCAATATCGAAGATTCATTTCTCAGTCTTCTTAATTGAGAATGTGCTTTGCCTATCAAAAATCAAACTTTATGTATATAGAATATGTGTGCGCGTATATACATTTATTTGTTTACTTATGTACCGATATTTAAAGTGACTATAATTTCCTCTTGCTGCTTCTCTGACGTTTCTATATAAACTGTTTCTCCTCCCACGTCAGCCACTACTGCAGTAGTTTGATGTCCAGATAAAAATGCTTTACTGATTTTGTTTACCTTCTTCTGATTCGGTAATGCAGCCGGTTTATGAAAAGTTTGAACAACTTCTCGAGCTTGTTTTCCTAGATAGAATCTAGCAGTGACATCATCGAGACAAATCGCAAATAGCGATACACATGTCAAGTCCCGAATATTTTCTAATGCAGAGAACGAGATAATTTCTTCAACGACAGATGCTTGTAACAATGTTAGATTCAACTAAAAAAACATTTTCAATATAATTAAAAAATATATGTAAATGAGAAAATTATTTTTTATTACGCAAAATTATTATTACTTTTGGTAAAATAATACTGCCTTGTATTTGTGTCGTAATACTTTCTTCGTAGACATTTGTCTGTAGTGCAATTTTACCTGTGAAATATAAAGTAGATTATAAATACAAATTAATTTAATTCACACACAGAAAAATATATCGCAAAAACTAACATTTATCATCACCTTGACCATTTTTAAGATTCCTTTCTGCTGTAGATCGTTTTGAACTAGTTTGGACTTGACTCCAATATGATAAACTTTGATCCTGTTTTAAAATATTTGCATCCTGGACTTTGCTTATACATTCGCTGTGAAGATGATTTAAGATTGTCAATGGATGTAAACTGGCCAAAGTTGGTATGATACTATCGATAAATCGTTGAAGTGATTCCAGAACCATAGGACTCAACATAATATCAACATCTCCTTTGAATTTGACAATAACCGTTGTGCGTAATCCGGTTTCATGCAATATTGCTAATAATTCTTCCTCGTTATGCATCGCATTATCTTCACCTGTTGTATATAAGATCTTAGATATCCTCATAATTCTGTAATCAAATATACAACTAATACTATACCTTCTGTTTGATGTAGAGATATATCGTCCCACAAGTAAGGATGTGTAGGTGTTTTATTAGATGAACTTGCAACGGGTGAACCATCGGAACGTGTTACCATTTTCAACGATGTAAAACCTTCCGTGACAGTTTCAAGTTTTGGTATATATCGTCCACCAACGTAAACTAATCTACCATCCTCCGCTCGTTGAAATACAGGAGTAGTAAATGCATCACCACCCGAAGGTAATGACGATTGATTCCAATTTGAACAGCGAACCTAACATTTTTTTTATTATATGTAGTAATATACATACCGTATTACAGTATGTAATAATAAATTAAACATTAATTGACTAACACATATGCACATATTAAGAGAAATATTAATAATTGATATAATTTATAAATATTAATAAATATAATAAATAAATTATATTAATTATTAATATTTATAAATATTAATAATTAATATAATTTATATTAATAATTGAATTTGCACTAATAATATATCAAAACTACCTGTGTTAAGTGACTAACATAACTCGACATCAATAACGGCGAATCTACAATTGGTTTATTCACTTGCATATGTAAATTTACAAGTGTGACATCTTCTTGTGAGGATACAGCAGAGATAAAACTAGTAGATGATATTGAATGGCTATCCGACGAATCTTGCAAACCGCAGTTTTCAGTTTGATCAACTTTATTTTGAAAACTAGTGTTCCTATTAATTCTGGGACTTTTCTTTGTATTTAATATTTGCGTCTTTGCTCTCTCCAACGTGTGCGCTTTATCCGCCACCGAGATATTTACATTAGCAGAGCTCTCAACAATAGATAAGTCCGATGAAAATTTTTTCTTTATACTATCACTACGATTTAAAACACAGCCAGAACCGACGATGGATTGACGTAAACTAGACGTTCGACTTCCACTTAATCCATGACTCATATCTTCATCAGCCGAATAAAATGCTTCCGAGTGATTTTCGGACGACATGGATACTGTACGTTGTACCTAAACGTATAAACAATTATATAATGAATATAATAGCTAAAATTTTTCGCTTAATATCAGAAGATACGGTAGTATCTCGACACTACCGTGCTTCGTTACGCGAGATTGCTATATTATACCTCTTGTTTTAATCGTTCTTCTGAATTTGTCCTCGCATATAATGAATGATGAGAATCCGATATATTTATTCCTTCGCTGTCTTTCGTAGCCGATCGTATAGACGTAGATAGATTAAATTCGGTTGGGACTGTAGGTAAAGATTGCGGGCTGCTTGATTCAAGTGTTTCTATGTTCTCTGTTGCAGTAAAATAATCTACGGCTAATTTGGAATCAGATACACTACTTTTAGGCGCAGTTTCAATTTCTGGTACACTTAAAATGGATTTACTGCGTTCTACATTTAGTTTAGAATCAGAATCTAATTTCTGTGGTAACTGTGCTACAGGACTAGCGTCAATCAAACGAGAATATGGTACATCTTTTATATTCGGCCCACTGCAACAAAAAGGACATTAATGTATAATAAATTGTATAATTTATATAAGAATTTTATAATTTTTATAAAACTTTTTATATCTTTAGGCAACTTTTACGTATACTACTTTTTATTTCAATCATTTATGCAGCAATTAATAAATACTAATACTATTCTAATTTTCCTAGTAATACAAATATAGAGTATGAAATACAAAATGTAATTTTTAGATTAAATCATGCAGTACCAATAAATAAAATAATTATTTATTTAAAAATATTTAAATAATTAAAAAAACTGCTGCAATTCCAAAGATTACCGCATCGATGTATAAGAAAATCTTCTGTCCAACGATTTCCTATCTCCACCAGATATTAATGGACTTGCAGATGCAACGTTTAATTTTGTACTATTATTTTCTTCTTTATTATGATCGGTCACAGACCTTGGACGTTCAATACTTTTCTTCAGAGTTTGTGGACCATCTTGATTGAGTGTTACTTTCAATCCTGTCATAGGATAGCATACATCTTGTAAAGATATATCTTGTAAACTATATGGTGGTGTGTGGAATACTAATTGCCCATCATGCAAAATAGATTGTCCAAATCCTTTTTCTTTATCAGGTTCATGAATTCTATGAATAAAGTAACTTATGTTATATCATAACAAGAAGATACTATTACGAAAGATAAAACACCTGAATCAAATATGTTTTTAGTATATATGTGTGAAAGTAAATATCTACCTATACGCAGCTATGTTAATACCATCTTGAAGATCATGATAGCTTGGTTTAAAAAATCTTGGTCCGTTCCGGTTATTGCCAAAAAATACACAACCTCCTATACAACCACATTTTGTTGCCTTTACTCCACTTTCCTGTGGCCATAAAAACCATAAACGTTTTGTTGCTTCATCATGCATTTTTAAATATTTATTTTGTACTAAATGCAAATTGTGTTCTGGAGTTGGAAGAGAAATCGCGGCTTCTAAAACAACTGGACCCAAAGATATTGATCCTACTTCAAGCCATATATCTGATCCATCACCTATTTATATATGTATATAAAATATATTAAAAATTTAAATATTTACATTTAAAGAATTTAATAGTAAAACAGTAAAAAAAAAATACCTGACATTCGACTGCTTGCGTTATTATGAGATCTACCACTACCAGTTGTATTAGTATTACTTGTATTCGCAAAATAATCTGCTGCAGATACAAACTGGCGAATAGATATCGTAGGTAAAACAGCGGTAACACCTGATTTTACTTGATGTCCGTGAAGATTACAACTAGCAACACGAATTGGAGATATCCAAAATTGTATGGCAGTACCTATTTCTTGTAGGTATAAATCAACAGCATCTATGGACAATCTCGTCATTCTATATTTTATATCTTCAGAACTTGGACACCTGAAACGTACATTTAATAATAGTAATTAATAGTAACAAAGCTCATCGATTACTCTTATCTTATTATTTTTTATTGTAAAAGACAAAAGATATACCTATAATGTTTATCAACATCACTTTCTGGACATTGCAGTGGCGCGAGACCATGGTGGCAATGAAAAGGTAAATTGGGTGGGCGTAAACTGTTCTCGGTATTTTTTGCCATTAACAAGAAAGTCTCTAATGATGTAATAAAATGATGTAATTGAGGAGAAGTAATTTTCCCACTTAATTTGCCTAACTGCACTTCAATCAACCATGCATACTCCAATGTTTCTTGATCTAAACTTCTTCCTTCATTACTGAACATAGCGTGACCTCTAAGTTGCAAAGCACTCAACATTAAATGTCCCTGATTTAGATGATGTTCTTTATTTGATCTTGTTACGTTATCTGTGACTAAAGCAATGGCAGGAGAAAGCAATAACTGAAGTTGTGTTTCCTTATAACCCTTTCTCATTTCAAATCCAAAACGTTCTAAAAGTATAACCGGGCATGGTGGATCATTTTCATTACAATTTTTGATTAAATGTGCTTGAATGTCATGCATAGTAACACCAACAGTCACTTCTAATGGTCTATAATCTCTCGGATCGAAGGGTTTAGATTTTATTTCTTCATCTTCCATAGATACCTCAATGCTGCTATTTTGTATATCTTTATCTTTATTTCTTTCTACATTTACAGATGTTGAGGTGTTTCTACTTTGTTGCATATCAGTAAACATTTGATAATCTCCAAATAAATTTTCCTTTAAGTGCATAAAGTTCTTTAACAAAGACCCATATAAAATCAATATGGATGGTCCAATTTCAAGTTCTATACTAACTTTATCAGGCGCTACGGATTGCGGATCAAACTTTTGTGCACCACTTCTTGCCCATTGTAAACCTGGCGATTTCCTACATTTAGGAATTCGCATAGGAGACAAGAGAATTTCTTCTTTTTCTGGAGTTGTTATATTAGCTTGTGGAGTAGGGCCTAACGGTGGGCATAGATGATAAGTATAATTAATACTCAATGCCACGATCGGTACAGACCAGCAGTTGACCCATCCTGATTCCTTTTGACAAAAGTTTCTCCATTTCTTGCCTCTATTCAATTCATGTAAGTGCTTATGAGATCCATCACGCGTCATGATCTTTGCATTCTTATCTAATGCCAATAAAATAATACGATTGGTATTAACTTCCGGCAAATAGAATAAAAGATCAACGCTTTCTCCTTGAATCCAGAAACGCAAAGGTATCGTAACGGGTAGAAAATCTACAAATGGAAGATCAAATGAGAGATCAAAAAGCTCCCCGCAAAAAGCGATGTGCGCATTCTCTTGGTTCTGAGATGAACAATCGATCCAATTGTATTCATTACACAGTGTAATCAATTCAAATTCTTTTAAAAGTAAACTAAATTTCCAAGTATATGGAACAAAGTGTAAAATATCGGGTCTTGCTTTACTCGCCCAATCATTGATCATATCTTGAAAAAAGTCTTTATGCGAATAAACTAAATTAGCAGTTGCTTTACATCCAGTTAAATTTAGCGTCCATTCTTGATGATCGTTCCACTTAAGAGGATAATGACACTTTACTCCAAATTCTAAGGTCTCACTTTCAACTAGACTTCGATACTGTAGACTAGTTGTAGCTTCCAAATGTAAAAGCTGACCCGTTATCTTTGTAGTATAACCGTCTTGTAAAACTATCCATGGCATTGTAATTTCTAAGTATGATCCTGGTCCTACATTAACATGAACAGCATTTGTTTCTCTATTTTTACTAAAGAGTATATCAATTGTTGCTTCATTCAATGTTGATAATCTAATGTCAAATGATTGAACCTGTCTTTTATCTCCTGGTTTAGGCAATTTTGTAATCTTCATTGGTTGGTAATCATTGGGAAAAAAGAATTTAAATAAATGCTCTCGTTGTCTATCGGCCCAAGGGCCATAACTAAAATCTGTGCCCTTTCCACACTTGATATCGATACCCCATATAGGAGGCATTGCCTCAACCATATCTCCATTCACCAATTGTATCATCTCAGGATGTTCCGGTACGACGCCAGGTTCATCCATGTAATAATAAACTTCCATGTTATTTGAACTTAAAACAACGAAACCTTCTCCCATGTATCTAGGTGGATCGTCAACCATTCCAGTATATTTTGGGCTGGGGGCCAAGATAACTTTAAAATTCTCGGCTTTGCACTTGGTAAAATGCATAAAATGGTCGTGTCTGGATGCTGCTGGTTTTGTAGAATATACAAAATGTGCTTCTTCCACTGTTATTGATAATGTAGTTGGTACTAATCGATTACCAAATACTAGTCTTCCCTAGAAAAGAAGAAGAAACACATTCTGACAATATTTTACAAATTGTGTGTTTGTGAATAAGTAGATATAAATAGCAAAATTAAATCAAAGTAGAATAATTTGATGTTACTAACTGTGCAAATATCTAGTTTAATAACTGGTATCAAGTCTCTCCAAGTACGTGCAATCACATGAGCTTCCTTCTTCCTAATGTTATCCACATGCCGAGATACATCCATTGCATTAATTTGTGAATGACGAGTTTCATTAGCTGCATTATTTATAGATTCTCCATCCAGATCGTCACTGTTTATATTATGGCATTCTTCATCAGCAAACATTTGTGGTGTAAGACCAAAAGATTTTTCTAATTGTGCATAAAGTTGACAGCGATTGTAAACATGTAATTCAAAACCATTTAACATAACTGATAGTCGTGTGTCAGAATGGGAGAGATCTATAATACAAAAAATTTTATATAAGATATGTATCATTACATTTTGGTTTTACAGTTTATATAATTATTATATTCAGTATTAAGAAAAATATTTGCCTTCTGATACATCCTTAGGGACATAGCTTCTCCACCATCTAAAAATGAGCCAACCATCCTGAATTCTAAAACTATAATCTGTAGTGATATAAACTATGTCCCTAAACATTATCTTCCCACTTAAAGCACTTAGTATGACAGATCCTGTGAAAGTAAAAATATAAGAAACGTCCTGAAATAATTTGTTAATTCTCTGTTAATTATACTATGTGTGTATGTGTGTGTGTTCTTACCAACTTTAACATATCCGTCTCTAATAACAAATCGATTTAACAACTTTGTCAATATATAACCAGCTACTCTACTATTATAATAAGCGATATAAACAATCCAGGATATGGCAGATACTAGTGAACATAACAACCATATAAAGTTGCTATCCATTTTAAGATCATCCAAGATGACATGATCAGAATAATTCCAAAATGCTGATTCAATACCAAAGAAAGACGACACTGTAGCATTGTATAGTTCGTTCTCCTCCATGATAATGCTTTTTTTTCAACTACTGAATTAAAAACTATTGTTCATAGTATATTATATACTGAAATATAATAAAAAAGTCTGTTTAATATATTCATTGATAAATTTAAAATATATCATTAAACATAAAATATAGATGTAATATATTGCATAATCAATAGAATTATTTATTCATTTTCAAATTATAGAAAAAAATAAAAATTTATAATACTAGGTGGTATAAATCTATATATATATTTTTAAAATTTATATTATAAAAAAAATTTGTCTTACCATAACCTATGCATTTCTATACAGTCGTAAAAAGATTTTAATACAATTCAATATAATGCTTGTTTTACAGTTATTTGTATATTATTTTTTATTAAAATATGCAATTAACAAAACTAAGCTAATATGTAAAAAAAAATTTAAAACATTTGATATCACGAAAAATAAAATGTCTAAATCTAACATATCTATATGTGACGAACTGTTTGCGCATTCACTGTGTCCCGAACAAAAATTTTAATATTTCTCTTCCAAAAATAATTCATCACAATGATCTCGTCTGCAGAAAAAGCGATTACCTGTTCAACGCAAAACGACATATTTTATTTCGACGATTTACCTTTATTAACTAGTTGGGTATAAAGCACATTGACATTTTGATGTGCCATTCATATTTCTACGCTTGTCATTATAATAATTGATAATAATCCTATTATCATTGTAATAATCTTGGAGAGAAATGTCGGAGAGAGAGCTGTCATCAATGAACAGTGACACGCAAAACCATTCCATATTTGACGTATATACTTGACTAATACACTATTAGCCCGGATCCTCATACGGACAACAGCGCTTTGACATCGAACGCTGATTGGTGAAAAACGGGTTATGGGGGTAAATTTTACCTCGCAACCGGTTTTTCATCAATCAGCGTCCGGTGTCAAAACGCTGTTGTCCGTATGAGGATCTGGGCCCCGATTCTCTAATCCATCGTAAGAGAAACGTATACGAAAAATTAGGAAAATGCTACAGTACACGTTACGTATACTATAACGTATACTCTTACGTTTCTCTTACTGGCCGTAATCTGTTAACTTATGCTGTAATCTGTAAAAATTGACCAATTATAATCGATTATTCCCCTCTCATTCGACTGTGATTGGTCAATTTTTACAGATTACGGCATAAGTTAACAGTTTACGGCCAGTATAAATCAACCTTTAAAAAGTCTGTGCTCCCCGCTTAAGGCTTAAAACTCTGTAGATCCGAGGTTATGCCTTCTGCAAAAGTCTGTGCTGCGACCAGGAAGTAAGATATAAGGAGACTTCACTCCGTAAAATAAAAGTAGTCTCATTTTAGGTTTCGAGTACAGTTTCCGATTCTGGGCCTCTATTCTTGAAAAGAAACGTATACGAAAGTCTAGGGAAATACTATAGTATACGTAACGTATACTATAGTATTTTCCTAAATTTTAGTATACGTTTCTTTTCAAGAATAGACCCCCTGATGAGTGCGAGTAATAGGCCTTCTACAATAAGCCATTACCTAAGTTTTAAGTATTAAGTCATAAGAAATTGACCACTCACAGTCGATTATTCTTCTCACATTCGAGACTCTGATTAGAGGTTAGAGGGTGTCTAATTATTATAACTGGATTTTATTGTTTATAATGAAAAAAATGTCGCGCGGACGTAACAGAAGACATCGCAGTAAAAGTGCCATCAATAACGATTTTAGTAAGTTTTCTGTACACGTAATAGTGACAGATTTTGTATACTGTGGTAATACTGTGACTCTACTCTGATCCATCCATGCTCTGATATACCACATCTATTGCAACCACATGGCCAAGAAGACTATCTTCTTGCACATGGTAATCAAATGTGAATATTTACAATGAGTATCATAAGCATAAAACAAGAAACACATCGACCAGGTGCATTCTCAGGTCAGGCTGAGACGCCCGAAGGAGTCTTAGATCGAGGTTCTATATAAACTGATTTCACGTGTCTCGAGTACATGCGAGAATTAGCGCGAGTCTCTTCCTTGGACCTCTGGTGGCGGGTTGTACAATTAGAGAGCCTGTAATAAGAGAGTCGCCAACGTGACTCGAATCGCGTGCTGATTGGCTTTGATTGGCTTGTTGCTATTTATATATCATCGACGTGGATTGGCTCGTGACATCACGTGACATAAACGACTACGCATCCTACCGAATGCTTCACCTTGTATTTGCTTGTATTTCCACCATGGTACACGCATGGTATAAATACAAGGGTATGCTCATGCGCATGACAAATCAGATTTCTGTTCTTGATTACGTCACAACGAGTGGCAATTTTAAAAATACGAGCAACATCATCAAAATGTTAGAACATAACCTACCTATACAAACGAAAATGTCAAATTAACTGAAATTATTAATTAAATACAACAGTATATAATTTTTATAACAAGAATTGTACAACTTACCACTTTGAACATTTACACTATCTTTTCCTCACGCTATCTTTTACGCCACGTGCACTACGCCATAGACGCCATGATAAATTACGATCGATAACCGCCGATTGCACCCGAATCAGAACCGACCAATCAACGCGTACCCGAATATGACGTAGTAGCAAGAACATGCGCAAGCTGAACGAGTTTTAGAAAATTGATGAGCATCCTTGTATTTCTACCATGGTCACACGTATGTACACGTGCTTTGCTTATGAATTCCGACGAACCATTCGACCGTGACGGTGACGGACGTGTTTCGGTTCGGGTGCTTTCTATTTTATATTTTTGAAAGTGTTGCCGACTTTGACTGTGCATTGCGTCACACAGATGCGTGTCTGCGGATGAGCTCGTCTCGATAGTTCGTCATTTTGCATCATCCGCATTGCATCATCCGTTCGTTTTCATATTTTTGTACGGTTTACTTTAAAGACGTGATCCGGCCGTATCGACCTCCTATTTCATTGCTTGGAGGCGGGAGCCATTATTTAAGGAAGAAGAAGAAGAGCTTTGCTTGTGTGTGCTACCAGTTGCGCCAGGCTGCCGACAGATGGCAAAAAAAAGTACCAAATGTTTTTATTCTAGTTTTTATGGAATATATTCTGTTTGATTTTTAAAAGAAATATATTTCATTTTGTCTTGTATAGGAAAACATAATATCAAAAAGTTTGATATACATCTTCAAAAAGATGTACGTAGAAATCAATTGTTGCAACTTAGGAAAAATAAGCGTGAACAAATATTGGCACAGAAAAGGAATCTTGGTAGCTTTTCTTCAGCACCTATCCTTATCTGTGTTATACCATTGCAAAATGACATAGATACAAAAAATATTGTATCTCTTGTAACTAAGATGGATGAAACTGCTAATGTTGCTACTAGTTCAAATGGGATTATTCATATTAGGTACACTGTGGAAGAAGGAACTTGTTTCCTATACTATTAAATAATAAGTTAAAAATTTAGCATTTATTAATTTAAATTTAAATTTGTATTTATTTAGTATACCAAGGCTGAAACAACGGTTTTCTATTATTGTACCATCAATAGATGATATTTTAGCGATATTAGATGCAGCCAAAATTGCTACCACAATACTCTTTGTAACTTCTATTACAAATCGAGAAAATAACGATAAGCAAGGGCAGATTATAGATGATTGGGGCAAGGAAATTATTATGTCTTGTCTTGCTCAAGGTTTACCTTCTACCATAGTTGCAGTGCATAATATTCAGAAACTTCACATTAAAGTAAGCAATAGTACAAATAATAATTAAAAAATCTTTGGAAAGAATATAAAAATTAATTTTTATTACAAAAATGTTGTAAATTCTATGTTACATGTGTCAAATATGTTACTTATTGTTTAATATATTTTAAATGATAATAGAAACGTCAGGAATATAAGCAATCTGTGCAACGTGCAATTTCAAAATGGCTTCCTGAAGAAAAAGTATTTGAATTAGATACTACAGCTGATTGCTTAAATATGTTACGCCATGTTGGATTACAAAAACAAAGAAATTTATTTTACAAAGACATAAGACCACATCTTTTAGTTGAGGAAGTCTCCTTTGAATCTGATGATGTATGTAAAATTTACAATTAATATTTAAAATTGTATAAAAATCAAATTGTCATTTAATTGCTACATAATTCTTATCTCGACAGAATTCTCTTGACTTTGGAACTCTCATGGTCAGTGGATATTTACGAGGCACAACACCATTATCTGTTAATGGTTTGATTCATATATCAGGTTTTGGAAACTTTCAAATGTCATGCATCAAAACGTTGAGAGATCCATATTTAATTGAACGTGAGCAGAAGAAATATCTTTCTGATGATAAAATGGAATGGAAAAATGAAATCGCAATCTTAACTGCAGATCCAGAAAAGCAGGTTTATTGCACATATTTTAATATTAATGATATTTATATCTTTTGGGCTAAATGTTGCTATTCTCAAATAAAAGTATTGTTAATTCTCTTACTATTTTTTTAGTATTAAAAGTAAACATTTTAACAGTATCTATATTAGCAGCAAGAGAGGCAGAAAGTTAAAAATTATCAGAAACCACATACTTTTATAAAAATTTGTCAAAATTATTTGTAATTATTTATGTACGATTTGTGTATTAATATATCTGTATGTGACTTCGAGCAATAATAATAATATCAGTACATGCAGTTTAAAATATTAAAATTTGTAGGAATCTCTTGAGAGCGAATATATTCCTGATCCAATGGATGCTGAACAAACATGGCCTACGAAAGAGGAATTGGCTGAAGCAGCAAAAAAAAATAGAAATAGAAAAATTGTAAAAGTTGTACCAAAAGGAACTTCTGAATATCAAGCTGCATGGATACCGGATGAAGATGGAGGTTTACATGTTTTACTTCTTTTTTTCCTCCTATGAAATTATTTAATCTCCTACTTCAAAAATATGTGTATTAAAATTATATATGTTCCTTTATGTATAGAAAGCCTGGGTATATATTCAGAAAATGAGTCAGAAGACAACATGGATGTGGAAGAGGCAAAATCTGAAGCAGCTAGCAGTGAAAATCTGGAAGATGACGAACAATATGAAACTATTACGATATCGGAAGCTCCTCTGGATGAAGAACGTTACGATCAAGATATTGATATGATTGAAGAAAAGCAAGCCATGGAAAACTTTAAAGGTCACTATAATTATATGTATTATAGTACATATATAATGTACCATAGTACTTTCATTATCGTTTTAGTAATATTTTAATAAAATACAGAAGCAAAATTGGATGCACAATTTCCTGATGAAATAGATACACCTCAGGATATCTTGGCTAAAATAAGATATCAAAAATATCGAGGTCTTGAATCGTTCCGCACTAGTCCATGGGATCCAAAGGAAAATCTTCCAATTGATTATTCTCGAATAATTGAATTCGCTGATTATGATCGCAGACGAAAACGTATTTACAAAGAATGTAAAGATATCGAAGGAGTCATGGTATATATTGACAATTATTTTTTTTCAGTATTAATCTTGCATTAAATGGTTATCACAGTTTGTATGCGCGTTCGCTCGTGCGTGTCCACTACATTTTATTTGACTGTCCTTTTTTTATTTATTATTTATAAGTCACATGAAATGTGTAGCAAATGAAAAATTCTAATATCAAAATATTGAGACTTGGTTTTTTAATTATAAGCATTTAAAGTTAGCGAATCATACCTCTCTTAAAGTTTGCACGTTTAAGTTACGGTTGGCATTTTATTCCATAGTACAACTAGACTTAAATGCTCGAACATTAGGCGATATGATTCGCTAACTTTAAATGTTTATAAATGAAGAACAATATATATTATAGTCCCAACATTCTTGAATTTTCTCAATATGATTTCAAGAAACCTTAAACGTGTGTTATTACAATTTTTACCAAACACTATAGATATATGTATGTGTATTTATATATTTGTATGCTTTTAGCCAGGATGTTACATACAAGTTTGTATCGCTCGCGTTAGCAAAGAAACTTTCAAGACACTTGCTATAATAGAAAATAAGCCATTAATAGTGGCCGCTTTACTTCCATATGAACATAAAATGTCTCTTTTAAATGTTGTATTGAAACATTCAAGCAATTACACACAACCAATCAAGTCAAAGGAAAGATTGATATTTCAGTGTGGATTTAGACGATTTACAACATGTCCAATATTCAGCCAACATACAAATGGTGCTAAGCACAAGGTAAGTTAATGCGTTTTTATTTTATATATCAAATATGTTTTGTATTGTAAAGAAACATTATGTTACTTCGTCTACAAATTTATGTTTTATTATGATAAATATGTTTAGTACGAGAGATACTTTCATCCTGAAACTACTGTTGTGGCAAGTATGTACGCTCCTATTACTTTTTCACCATGTCCAGTTCTTTGTTACGTCGAGAGTAAAAGTGGCAAACTTGTATGTATTTTTTGCAGTGTTATTAGTATTGTATTAAGTCCTAAACACAATGCGAGAGAATAGCGATAGCAATAAGTTTGAACCTATCAAAAATGCGTATTCCGGTGTATTCGATTTCTGATAAGTTGAAACTTATCACTATCGCTATTCCCTCACATTGTGTTTAGAGCTTTAAAGTCGTACTATATGAGAATGAAATATAGTGTGCTGCTATCAAGTTCAAATAACATTGTCATTTTAGGAATTAATTGCAACTGGTAGTGTGTTATCTTGTAATCCCAACAGAATTGTTTCAAAACGAGTTGTTTTGAGTGGTCATCCATATAAAGTAAATAAGAGATCAGTGGTTATACGTTTTATGTTCTTTCACCGAGAGGATATCGAATGGTTCAAGCCAATCCAATTGAGAACAAAATATGGACGTAGAGGCCACATAAAGGAACCTCTTGGTAAATAGTTGATTGATAATTAATTACCAAACGATTACACCTTTCGTATTTAATACTATTTGTTACATTTATATATTTACTATTACTTATTAATTAATATACATGCTTCCGATTTTATGTTATAGGTACACATGGGCATATGAAATGCATCTTCAGTAGTCAACTAAAATCTCAAGATACAGTGTTGATGAATTTGTACAAACGAGTTTTTCCAAAATGGACTTATGAACTTGTATGAACTAATAAAAATAAAAATTATATGAACTTGTTAATCTCTTTGAAAATGTAGATTTATAATATAGCTAGCAGTGAAAATCTGGAAGATGACGAACAATATGAAACTATTACGATATCGGAAGCTCCTCTGGATGAAGAACGTTACGATCAAGATATTGATATGATTGAAGAAAAGCAAGCCATGGAAAACTTTAAAGGTCACTATAATTATATGTATTATAGTACATATATAATGTACCATAGTACTTTCATTATCGTTTTAGTAATATTTTAATAAAATACAGAAGCAAAATTGGATGCACAATTTCCTGATGAAGTAGATACACCTCAGGATATCTTGGCTAAAATAAGATATCAAAAATATCGAGGTCTTGAATCGTTCCGCACTAGTCCATGGGATCCAAAGGAAAATCTTCCAATTGATTATTCTCGAATAATTGAATTCGCTGATTATGATCGCAGACGAAAACGTATTTACAAAGAATGTAAAGATATCGAAGGAGTCATGGTATATATTGACAATTATTTTTTTTCAGTATTAATCTTGCATTAAATGGTTATCACAGTTTGTATGCGCGTTCGCTCGTGCGTGTCCACTACATTTTATTTGACTGTCCTTTTTTTATTTATTATTTATAAGTCACATGAAATGTGTAGCAAATGAAAAATTCTAATATCAAAATATTGAGACTTGGTTTTTTAATTATAAGCATTTAAAGTTAGCGAATCATACCTCTCTTAAAGTTTGCACGTTTAAGTTACGGTTGGCATTTTATTCCATAGTACAACTAGACTTAAATGCTCGAACATTAGGCGATATGATTCGCTAACTTTAAATGTTTATAAATGAAGAACAATATATATTATAGTCCCAACATTCTTGAATTTTCTCAAAATGATTTCAAGAAACCTTAAACGTGTGTTATTACAATTTTTACCAAACACTATAGATATATGTATGTGTATTTATATATTTGTATGCTTTTAGCCAGGATGTTACATACAAGTTTGTATCGCTCGCGTTAGCAAAGAAACTTTCAAGACACTTGCTATAATAGAAAATAAGCCATTAATAGTGGCCGCTTTACTTCCATATGAACATAAAATGTCTCTTTTAAATGTTGTATTGAAACATTCAAGCAATTACACACAACCAATCAAGTCAAAGGAAAGATTGATATTTCAGTGTGGATTTAGACGATTTACAACATGTCCAATATTCAGCCAACATACAAATGGTGCTAAGCACAAGGTAAGTTAATGCGTTTTTATTTTATATATCAAATATGTTTTGTATTGTAAAGAAACATTATGTTACTTCGTCTACAAATTTATGTTTTATTATGATAAATATGTTTAGTACGAGAGATACTTTCATCCTGAAACTACTGTTGTGGCAAGTATGTACGCTCCTATTACTTTTTCACCATGTCCAGTTCTTTGTTACGTCGAGAGTAAAAGTGGCAAACTTGTATGTATTTTTTGCAGTGTTATTAGTATTGTATTAAGTCCTAAACACAATGCGAGAGAATAGCGATAGCAATAAGTTTGAACCTATCAAAAATGCGTATTCCGGTGTATTCGATTTCTGATAAGTTGAAACTTATCACTATCGCTATTCCCTCACATTGTGTTTAGAGCTTTAAAGTCGTACTATATGAGAATGAAATATAGTGTGCTGCTATCAAGTTCAAATAACATTGTCATTTTAGGAATTAATTGCAACTGGTAGTGTGTTATCTTGTAATCCCAACAGAATTGTTTCAAAACGAGTTGTTTTGAGTGGTCATCCATATAAAGTAAATAAGAGATCAGTGGTTATACGTTTTATGTTCTTTCACCGAGAGGATATCGAATGGTTCAAGCCAATCCAATTGAGAACAAAATATGGACGTAGAGGCCACATAAAGGAACCTCTTGGTAAATAGTTGATTGATAATTAATTACCAAACGATTACACCTTTCGTATTTAATACTATTTGTTACATTTATATATTTACTATTACTTATTAATTAATATACATGCTTCCGATTTTATGTTATAGGTACACATGGGCATATGAAATGCATCTTCAGTAGTCAACTAAAATCTCAAGATACAGTGTTGATGAATTTGTACAAACGAGTTTTTCCAAAATGGACTTATGAACTTGTATGAACTAATAAAAATAAAAATATATGATCTTGTTATTCTCTTTGAAATAGTCTACAAATTTGCTCTATATTCCGTTAACGAAAAAATGTAAATTAACAAAACTGGTTTTAAGAGGACGTATAAACGTCAAAAGCGTCATTTCTTTACGCTTGTGTATTATCTGTTCGAAATAAAAACGATTAATGTCATCACTGTCATCAGGTATATTCCAGCGTGTTCCGCATATTTGAAAATGCTTAGAAAATGGCGTTCGCGCTTCACTGAGTATCGAGAGCACATGGGCATGTGCGATTTTCGCATGAACCGCGTCCTCAATTAAGCCCTAAACACAATGCGAGGGAATAGCGATAGCGATAAGTTTCAACCTATCAAAAATGCGGTGTATTCGATTTCTGATAAGTTAAAACTTATCGCTATTCCCTCGCATTGTGTTTAGGGCTTTAGTACGTTGAAATTTTTATTCTCTGTTTCTTTTATTCTACGCAGCTTTTAGAAATCCGACCATTTGTCGGACCATTTTTTTATTTTAATGTAATATATATACATTTACAATAGTGTAAAACTAATCATTTAAAATGCAACATTTTTGAGATTGTGATATTTAATCTAAATGGTAAGAGCCCGCTGACCTTATATTATAAAAATACGTTGAATCGATGTTTTCGCGTAAAAATGAAGATTTGACAAGAAAAATGCCTCGCTCTATTTCGTGAACCGAAATATTTTTAAGTTGACTATTCAGGTTAGTAAATTTATCAGCCACGAAATGTGTTGTAATTTCATGTTCAATATCAATTATAGTTTGTAAAAATAATTCTCTGCTGATAATAATTCTGTATAACTAATAATAATTCTGTCTACTTTATAATACTTGTATTTTAGAGCAATTTATTTTGAAACAGTGAATTTGTGTTTTGGAGTACTGATTTTGTAATTGTACAGCAAAAAATTTATGTAGTTAAACCAGAAAATTATTTTTAGAAATTAATTGATATTGCACATGAGACCACAGCGCATTTCGTGGTTGTGACAGATTTCCTAACCTGAATAGTCGTCAACTTAAAATATTTTGGTTCACGAAGCAGAGCGGGGTTTTTTTCTTGTCAAATCTTCATTTTTACATGAAAACGCATCGATTCAGTGTATTTTAATTTCTTAAAATTTTAGAGATTGTCGAGGGTATAAAAAGGATCATTTTTTGCAAATGGACCTAGGGTTGGAAGCGTGTCGTTACATTGCTACGATGGCCAGTGTTCCAAAAAGGTCCAATCTCGAAAAATATATTTAATAAAAAATTGTTTCACATAAAAGTTGTAGGGTGTAAAAAGATCTATTTACTGATTTTACGAGTTGCCTTAATGATGTCGCCAAGATCGAATTCCTTAAGCAAGATCCAGCAAGATCGATGATTGCTGTAATGACATGCTTCCAACCCTAAGTCCATTTGCAAAAAACGATCATTTTGGTGCCTCAACAATCTATGAGAGTTTATCGGTTGAATTTCTAAACACCCTGTATATAAATGTTCAAGTTTAATTCAATCTTGGTCAAAATTATTTCAGATTGATTAATACATGTATATACACATATAACTAGTAATAAATTATTCAAAACTTAAGATGATACGCTCATTAATGAGAAGCCCAGTGTTAATGTCTATATTTCCATTTCAAAATGAGAGTGATCTGTATGATAAGCCTGTGAATACAGTAATAAAACCATTTGATGATGAATTAGGTTGGGACAGAGTAAAAAGAATATTTTCTTTGGAGTATGTATTGTGTACATATATATTCAAATATAAAACTTTTTACTTTAATTGCGTACAAAACATTTTTATTACAATGGTTTGTAATTTTATTTTTTAGCGAAAATGGCTTTTATACAAAGGAATTACAATCTATTATAAATATAACGGTGTCAGGTTTTGGAATTGGCTTAGCTCTGGGTGGTTTGAAGTCAACCAAAAGTACACTAAATAATTTCATCATGAATAACGAAGCAACACGATTCATAAGTCATTTTGATGCAAAACGCGATCTTCAACACTCAGTTGTTACAAATTTTCTCAAAAAGGGTGGACGGTATGGAACAAAACTTGGAACATTTTGTTTTATTTTTAGGTATGTATACTTTTTTATGGTCTAAAATTTATGTGTATGTAGAGAGAAAGAGAGAGAGAGAGATTATTTAAATGTTTTCTTTTATAGTTCAATAACAACATGTACATCAGCATATCGTGGAAAAATAGCAATAGAGAATTATATGTTGGGCGGTGCTGTAACAGGATTAGGATTTAAAATAAACTTGGGATTTCGAGGGATGCTTGTTGGCACTGGACTTGGTGGTATATTAGGTGGAATATGTGGTGGTTTATCAGTTCTTATTCTTAAATTATCAGGAATAACCATGGATGAAGTATTAGAAGCACAAAACCAATGGATAAGTTCGAGAAATACGTAAGTAAAATATTATCCACTGTATAATTTAAATATTAAATTTGATATTTTTTACAAGAGATTTTCTCACCATGTACATTCAATATATACTGTATTGTATCGTTGAATGTATAAGTTATAAAGTTATACTAATTATTTTAATATATTGATGTTATATATTTATCGATTGTAGAGTACGTGAACAAATAAAATTAAATATGAATAATGAATTATCAGAATTACAAGAGTTATATGAAGAAAATAAAAAACTGCAGAATATTGATGAAGAAAATAATAAAAACCAAAACAAAGTGAACCCATAATTATACAAATAAATCTTGTACATAGAAGAACACATGTGAGATTGAAAATTTTATTATCCATTTGTCATTGCTTTAAAATTTTGTTAGATGCGAAATAATTAAAAAATATTTTCTAACAAATATGAATTTTACATATAATTTATCACAGTAAGTATAAAGTTTAACAAATCCTTTATATGTATTATATACATATATAATTGGTTTAGAGATCAAACAATAAAATAAATAATTATGTACTTTAAGTATATATTTACACAGAATAGGCCAAAATAAATGTCTTTCTCTTCTTTTAAGTAAATGAGAAATAAGAATCATGCATATTTCATAACAATGCGTGCACAAAAATATATTAGAAGTCACTATCCTGCTTTTATTATAACATTAATAATCTTTTAATTTTCTTGTTCAGAAGACGCTAACTCTTGAATTTTAGTTATACGCTTAGCACCTCTGTTCGGTGGACCCTTGGGTTTAGCGAATTTTGGTTGATGTAAACTGATTTTTGGATGTAATTCCTCTTGAAAAAATTCTTCAGTAAGTTCCTGTCCAGTAGTTATTTCAAGCTGTGCAATTAAATTGTAAAGAAAAATTATAATATGATTTATGTAATGTACATCTAATAGAATAAAAATTTAGAAAATGAATAATGTATATATATCAAATAAATATCAAAGAAATAGTCACACACACGCACGCACGCACGCACATACACACATATATACATACATAAAATATATATATACATATACACATACACATGAGATTTACTACTGTAGAAATAGAGAAAATCAGGAAAAAGATGAGTTATTAGGAGTACAAATTAGTTCGATCCGTTTTCCAAAAGATAATTGCCTCCAAAGATGAGTCATTTTTTCGAGATGGAATTCGAAAATTGCCTGAGAGATGGGAAAAAATAGTAGCCAGCGATGGACAATACTTTAATTAATCTGTTTTCATCATTCATTTTGTTTTGAAATAAATGCATTTTTGAATACAAAAAATGGACCGAACTAATTTGTACACCTAATATATAAACATATGGCTGTAGATCATATAGCAGGCCTATTCTGCAAGTTGTAATAAAACATGCTTTTAAATCTTAAAAATAACTACATACCCATTTTAAGAAGTGTGTATCGCCAAATCATCCTTGGCAATAGCAATATACATACCTAAGTGGTCCTTACTAATTACATATATATGTATCTAGTATAAATGTATATAATACTGAATATAATAGAAAAAGAAACACCAAATTGTAAGTTTAAGTTGCATAATGCTTTATTATTTCCAGTATATTCAATATTGGCAAGATGTGTATATATATATACAATTTTCTTGATTTTAAGTTATATGCATATAAATGAAAAGTCCAGAGCCAAGATAAAATCGAAGTTACAGAATAGGCCTGATATATTTAACTGAAGTATATTATATATTAGGCAATATTATGTGGGTCATAATTTAAAAAAATAAAATACATATATTTAATTAGTCTTCAGTATAGTACAAGATTAATTTAAATATATTATGCAAATATGAGCCAAAAATTGTACTTTTTCCTTTTTTGCTTTAGACATGTCTCTCTCTTCTCTCTCTCTCTCTCTCTCTCTCTCTCTCTCTCTCTCTCTCTCTCTCTCTCTCTCTCTTTTTCTCAACTAAACTACAAAGTTAAATAATTCACTAAAAATAAGGGATATATATAACAATTAGGATTATAAAAAATTTGTAAAATCATATAAAAACCGTACTAATATAAAAAATATTAACTACGCACGGAAGGAAAAAATTCAAGAATTTGGCTCAAATAATTTTCACAGCACAAGTAGACCCAGCTGATTTTATTAATCATTTTTCCGCACGCGTATTTTAGATTAAAACATTCAAAAAGTTTATAAAAAGCTACAAGTATTAAGAAAATACAGATCACAAAAAATAGAATGCCTCTCATATATTTTGTTGCGGACTATCAAATTGTAGTCCTATCTGCTGTAAATTGCATGTCCACTTAAATATTAAAAAAAAATTTCTCTATAGATATTTTATTATTTAAATAATACTGTAATATATATTATATGTATTAAATAATGCTCTCAATATTTTGAATAACATAACTCTTTAAAATTTCAGTAACGATATAAGGATAATAAATACAATAATTACATTAATTTTGTTTAATAGTTATGTGTAATATTTAACAGCTGATAGGACTCACTAAGATCAGTCTTACATCATACACATATTCGTAAAATATTTTTAGCATTTACAATAGTGTAGAACATGGTATAAAATTTTATATGTAAAATAACTGGTGTTATCACTATCTTGTAGCTGAAATAATAGTGTGCGAAAAAAATATATCCACATTAATGTGGTGTTTGCATATTTATCACTCATCTACTACTTATTATCATATTGAAAATATATAGAGAAGTTAGGTTAATGGCTTTAGCTCTTTCTCTCTTTCCTTCTATCTATTTAGAGCACAAATGGAATTTTTCCTAACTCTCTACTCACATCACATATGGTGTATATAGTTACCACAGATCAATATTAAAAATATTATGTTTATCGAATCTCATATGAACATTTAAATGAGTTTAAAAAAAAAGCTAAGCCTTCAAATTTCACTCTATAAAAATACTTAAGACACATATCACCTTTATAAGACTAGGAACTAATTCACAGTACTTGGTACAATATATATATATATATATTTTTTAAACATTTTTAAAGAAAATATATATTTTAGATATAGAAATGTTGCATGTAAAATATATATGTATATATAAAATTATTAAAATAAAGAGGAACTCTATATGAATAGAATGTGTTAGGTTCTGTATAAAACTAAATTACATACATATTTCACACAATTGCTATCACATGACATAATACTATATTATATAAAAATCAAAAAGTGAGGCTTAGCTTTCAATGTTAAACAAAATAATCTAATTCAACCTAATTCTTGACACTATTTTTCACTATATAATATGAATTAATGAATATAGTAAATATGTGAAACACATGAACTATATGGGGTTATCTGTATCATAGGCATGTCACACTTATTATCAATAGATATAATGACGTTTTGCAAAGAACCTTCCACATGATAATTTTGCTTTTAAAATTTAGAAAAATACATTATCTGGTCTACTCTGTTTTGCTACTTAGATTTACGTATCACTTTGATAAATTAATTCTAAATGCTGATAAACAACACAGATTAATTTTCTTTGCATGATGCAATACATTTTCTGCTACTTGTAAATTTATATTTATATATATATATATATATATATAATTAGATAAATGTAATTTGCTCTAACATGAAACATTGGAAACCCATTATTTTATTTTAAATGACATATCCTATGTCAATATCATACTATCACAATTCTGGAATTCATGAAGGAAGATATTTGATGCACAAAACATCATAAATACTTCAATTAGCAAAAAGCAATAATAATGGCAGAGATGAATGCTTTAAACCAGTTTTAGCTTAAGACACAAGACCGTTTCTGTTTTGATTTTTTCTCTGGTATGGATTGAGTAGGGGCACAAGGTGTCGACGGAGTTGCAGGAGTTATTGCAGCTGAGTCTTTTATGCTTGGAGGATCTTCCAACTTATCTGCCAATTCCTCTCCACTATTAACTTCCAACTAGGGTTGCAGTTATATAATACAGAGATGGCAGTTATATATATATATATATGTGCACATGTACACATATACTAAGAATATATTTTTTAGTTAATCATAAATAAATAATAATTGCTTTTCTAAGTATATATAATAGTATTACACTTAGAAATGCAACACACATAATTCTATATATGATACAATATTGCAATTACAACTATAATATTATTACAGTATAGGAAGATACAAAAAAAAATATATATATAGATTTCCATTAAGATTTTAAAAAGAAATTACAGATGAATATGCTAGATTTGTATTCAAAATAGTTATAGTCATAAAACACATGCATATGATATCAATCAAATGTTACTCTTTTATTATTTAAAGAATATGCTTATTTGATTGAAATATATGATTTTTAAACTTAAAACAATACTTATAAAGAAAAATATTTACATAAAGCAGATTAGAGTCAAAGTGAATTATTAAGTTATAGTGAATTATTAAGATATTAAAAATACTAACCTTTTTTATTATGGTTACTCCTAGAGACTGGATTAGGTCCAATAGAGGTGCTTTGCATGAAGAATATAACATTCTTTCTTTAATACTGCAATTGTATCCTGGCATACTATATATGAAAACTGAAAAGAGAAAGAAAAATTATTCTTCCATACTATACAGATAGATAAAAATATTATTTATATCGCTTACCTATGCTTTCTGTATAATCTCCTTCATGAGTATGTTTGAAATTATAAAGATGATATCTAGCAGCATCAGATGGAACTTTAGTAGGTAATTTATCCAGTGAAATATCACAAGCTGTGACTAAATGTATCTTTTCTTCTTCCAATTCAATTTTTAATTGGATGTATTCATAAATTCCTTTACCCAGCTCTGTAATGGCTTGCTTGGCTTCATCTGTTACTGGAAAGGCTACGCCACTTAAAGTCTGATGTCTTGTTTCGACACTGTAGTCTGTAGTAGCAGTAGTCTTCTTCAATTCAGCTAATTCTTCCTCAGCTGTTGTCAGTGGTACAGGTGCTGTATCGTTTCTTTTATGTTTGTGATAACCTTCTAATGTAATATCTTCTGGGACAGTACCATGTAATTCTTCTTTTATTGAGGCTGTACCAAATTCTTGCTTGAGTGTGGCCTTAGTAGAAGCATAGAGCATTTTCTGTCGTACTGGTGCCGTATCGGGAGACCAAGATATAAATAACCAATCATAACCAGAATCTGGCGATTTTGTGTCCAACCTATAAAGGATATAAGCTGGTTGATTTTCCACTATCAGCGGCTTGATCATCTTATCGTAATCATCTTGCCATTTGTTAATTGGCTTCAGACTAGATGCCGGAGTCAATTCCTCTGGAAAACGGAAAGAATAATTACTAAAGATGCTATACTGCCTGTTTTGCTCTTCAGAGGATTGATTATGTATCTTGAAATGAGATGTAAATTACAAAGACAATATTTGTTCACTTTTCTAATTTTTACTCTGTTTCAAGATACACAATTGATCTCTAGATCTTATAGTAAAACGAACACATGTTGCTATAAGATTCGATAACAAAAATTTTTGCTACAATCCAAACTTACCATTCTCTATTGAAATTTTTAGTACTCGTATTTTTCCATCACGACATTTTGCGAACAACTTCTTCAATGCATCATTGGCTAAAACAAATCAATCATTGTTAATAAAAGATTTGACGGTTAAGGTCGGATAAGATTCTGTTATCAATTCACTGCAATTAATTTTTGCCGTGGCGATGCACTATGCTATGAGCAGAGACATATAATCACCCTTGATTCCAGTCTGGTGTGACATTATTTCACGAAGAACTCTTATTGCTGCCTGCAGCTGTCTGTCGCTTGCTGTCGTTGTGTCGGAGTTGGCCGGAATATCAGGGAATACGTCAACAGTCGCCCACGGTCGCCTACGCGCGTCCGACAGAGTTATTTTTTTCTATCTGCCAAAGTTTTCGCGAGAGAAGACCTCTCGCTTCACTCGACTCGATTGTCAAGTGTAATAAAGCCCTGTCTCCACGGTGTTAGAACGAGTTCTCCTCGGACCCAGAAATGTGTAGCCAATCAACAAGCAATTTTTACGGAAAAACGACTAGTTGATTGGACAGATATTTCTCGGACCGAGATTTGGCATCGTGGACTGCGTGGGCACAGATCAGGAATACTCGATGATAAACAATAAGCGAATTAGCCAATTAGAAATATTAGAATCATATAGTTGCAAAAAAAAAAAAAAGATTAGATTGAGGAAAACGTTCGACTGCGATTGGTGATACCAGTTTTGACGTTGTTTAACGAGATCCGATAAGAGAAACGTGGCCAATCTCGATCGAGAAATCTCGACATGTCATCCAATTGATGATTGTTAAAGCTTATTTATATATAAACCTCGTTTACATATTAATGCTTTATTTAAAAAAATTTCCATGACATGCGCTACATCGCATTATATCGGGCTTATAATATGAACTATATTTTTAGAATATAAATAAATAATCTTACCATGGGCAATGTGAAATTTTCTTCGTCCGCAATGTTTTATAATACGTAGCCCCTATACATATTTATTATTCTTTATTTTAATAATTTGAGCCTGTTTTACATTTTTGTTTAATAACGAGATTTATTATACCATGATAGAAGTTAAATTGTATTTTACTTTCTCTTATATATGTGTGCAGATTTAATTCACAAGTCCCCTGATAACATAATAGCTAGGTGTAGTATAAGCCTTTTGAGCCTCAATAAATTGATCAATTACAGTCGAATTTGAGAAGAATAATCTACTCTGTGATTAATCAATTTCTTAAAACTCAATTAAGACTTATTGTACCTATCGTGTTGCAGGACTTGATAAAAAAAAAATTGATTGTGCCTTTTCAACATTCAACATTGCGGACGGAGAATTAAAACTTTTTCTCAGCGTGTCTCAGAACGTATCGAGACTTTTTGAAAACGCGACAGTCCGTTCATGGATCTGCGCAGGCTGTCAGTGGACAATTACGATAAATTACGATAGCCGAATGTTGAGGAATATACAGAAGCATCAAGAGAGGAATCTGATGTGCCACGCATGGCACACAATAGTACAGAAATAATTTCCGATAAATGGAATACACGCGTCGCTCGAAACGACATTGTCGAAAGGCCATTGTCACTTTAATCTCTACGAACAGCTGTCTGCTAATGCTCCCGCTATTGCGCACGCGTGGAATTCGTTTCTCCATCTGGGAGCGGGAGTGACGTATCCTGGATTGTGCCTGATTCCTGACGGCGGATACGAAGGTGTGAAGAACGAGCGATCGTGTATTTTGAAGGAGTTTTCCACTTTAACCTCTTGACGGAGCTGGATTTCGCTGCACGGGATTCAATATGTTGGCCCTCATCAATCGGATCTTGGACTGGTTCAAGTCCCTCTTCTGGAAGGAAGAGATGGAACTCACCCTCGTTGGCCTGCAGTACAGTGGAAAAACTACCTTCGTGAATGTCATAGCGGTACGTGAGTCATGAATTTCCTCTGTTTAGGAGAATGTACGTGAGTCGACCTCGCGAATGTACAAGTCGATATCGACGAGAGGCAAGGCTTGCGAAAGCACTTCGTGTGTGTGTGTCTCAATGGCTTGGTTAGATTCAATAACCCCTTCGAAATAACTCCGTCGTTGTGTTAACATACACCGTATACGCCCTTACGTCAAATGATTTGGCATACGATTGACGATATGTAATTGCAATTGACTGCGATAGTCATTGAATTGTGTTGTCGTTTATTTTTCTTCTCCTGCCTCACTTTCTCTTTCCGTTTTTTCCACTTATTTTTTTTTTTCACGGATTGTTATTGCAAATGTATAATAAAACTTATTGTTTCTGCATTTATAACTTGAATTTTTTTTATAAACGAACTAATTAAAAATTAAATTTGTTTACGTAAAATTTGAATACGTTCATTTATGGTACATCATTTTCGTTTTAATTGGAATTAAATTAAAATTATAATCTTTGTATTATCAGAATTATTAGTGATAATTGTATGTGTCATTGTTCTTAAATATGGACGACTAACAAAGACAATCTTTCTCCTTTCTGTATTCAGTCGGGTCAGTTTAGCGAAGATATGATACCGACTGTAGGCTTCAACATGCGTAAAATAACCAAAGGCAATGTCACTATAAAAGTATGGGACATTGGTGGTCAACCAAGGTTTAGATCTATGTGGGAGAGATACTGTAGAGGAGTAAACGCCATAGTTTACATGGTGGATGCAGCTGATTCAGAGAAGATTGAGGCAAGCCGTAATGAATTACACAATTTGTTGGATAAACCACAATTGTCTGGAATACCAGTGTTGGTTCTGGGTAATAAAAGGGATCTACCTCATGCATTGGACGAGAATGGGCTCATAGAAAGAATGTAAGTTTCACATTCAGCTGGGTGTAATATTTTGCAAATGTATGAATGTATATATATATTTTTTATTCTAGGAATCTATCTGCGATTCAGGACCGTGAGATTTGTTGCTACAGTATTTCGTGTAAAGAAAAAGACAATATCGATATTACGTTACAATGGCTCATAGCGCATTCGAAAAGTGGAATTCGTTAATAATCTTAAAATATCCCATTTGTTAGTATCAGCGAGACTTTGATACTGATAACAGTATTGGGATCAATTGTGAAATGATCGCATTGAGCAAACATTGTTCAAAACTGAAGTCATTATTGTAGAAAATTACTTGAGCTTTAGCTGATCTAAGTTGGATGGTGCGAATATGCCATGGTAAAATTTAAAAATCATGCTTGTATGCCAAGAATATGCTCGTGTGAATTATACCATAAGGCACTCATTTCCCGCGAGCACCTTAGTAATAAGGAACAATTTTTTATATTTTCGTTTTAGGTAAGTCCAAGAATATATTCCAATACTTAATATAACAATTAAATGTAATTAGTATCTCTGTATTTTCTATAATTACCGCTATTGTGTAAAGCTGAAATAATACCAACATAATCGCAGTTAATTATTGTGATATTATAGTCTAGATGTTGATAATCTGATTTCGTCTTGTACCCTTGAAAGATACCAAACGTTTCATGTATAAATTAGAGAAAATTGTAGCTATTACGAAATACACACGCGCAAAGATATCACTATTAATTAATATACTATAGTATATACATATACATATATACTATATATATATGTATATATGTATACACACACCTCGAAAACTTTAATAACAAATAAAAACGACGTATTGCAAACATCATCTCTTTTTGTTTCTTCTTACTTCAAGAATGTGATAATCCTGAGTCAGATGCTACTCTCGTGCGTTTACGTATAAAGAACTATGACGGTGCATATATTTACCATATTTATCAAATATTCCACAAGGACAATAGAAAAAAAATAATGACAGTAATGGAAACAACCTAAAAACAATTTGGTAAACAGCTCATAAAGTACTACGAGAAGTAAAAATTCTATTATATAAATGTTTAAAATAATTGGATTGCAATAGAATAGATAGATTTTATTTACTCTGCAGCAATATCAGGAAGTTTAAACGCTCACACATTTTTTCGCGTTGTTTATCCTATAAATTGATTTCTTTTCATTCATTTCTATCTATATATAAAGTTTTATATAATACGCTTAAATTTCCCTTAATCCAATTTTCTGTCATTTAAATTGCTTCTAATGAAATATTTCTAAATAACTCAGTTCGATTGGCTGTATTTCGTGACATAATTGTGAAATTGTCACAGAGCTGAACTGCTTTGTATATCGTGTAGTGTATCATGGTGGAATCCTTTTCGATTCCTTCATGCCATGTACATTGAAATATTTCAATATTTATTTGTATCGAATTCCAAGTATGTATTTTTCAAAAAAATCGTTACAATGAAATTTTTAAATAATATATACTGTATAGGAAAGGATAGAGCTAAGTTCAAATTGCTGAAATAAAATTTCGGTTAAATTGAACTATGCTTACATGACAATATGGTATTTCATTTTTCTAGTGGTGTTCATTACAGCCAATTTTTGTTATATTTATTAACTGTACATGACTCACTTTTAATAAAGTGGTCACAATAATATGTATTAAATTGTCGGCAAAAAATCAGTTACATATTACAGCAGAAAAAATTCTTGAGGTTTCATCAACGATTTGCGGATACATGTACATAATGATAAAGATAAAAACGATTATCGTATCTCCTATTTTATAATGCATATGTTATAATACAGAATCATGGATGGAATGATACGTTTCCATCTTTCAGGGACAGAAAATATGCTCACATACATATAGTTACATTTACGGTTAAGGTCCAAAAGTCAAATATAGTAGAATACAGAATTGGATATTTTTATACGAAATATTGTAAAAGATAATATAGATAATATTAAGAAAAAAATAAAATAAATGTAAAAGTAGAATAATATTCTTTATAAAATTAAAGATAAACACTTTTATCTCTTTAAAATTCGATTAAGAATATTACTCTATTATAATTTTGAAAATCACCGTAAATAGAATATCCTGCATACAACTGGAAAATATTTTACTAATAGATTTTTTTTTAATGCAAGATTTAAAAAATCAATGTTTCTATACTAGATTTTTATGAAGATAGATCTTTAAAAAAATGGTCAAAATACGAAGAATTTTATTGTTTTAATAAACTTTATATATTTAAGAAATCGAACAATATTGATTAACTTTATTTTTTAGTTAAGCTGAAGTAAACTTTAGCAAAATATGATAAATGACTATAATTAATATTGAGAAATATTATAATAATTAAAAGTCCTCATATAATGTTCACAAAAAGCCAATGTTACAGCATCTACCTTTCAAATACTTCCCAGTGATGTTGACGTTCTGCATTATTACAATCTGTCTTTATATCAAATGATTCGATTTAAAATTAACTCATTAAAGTCCAGTTATAATTTTAGTTATTAGTTTTATATATATTTGGTTTTTAAGTACTTTAAAAATAAAATTTCTATACAAAGTATCCATGCTAAAGTATTGCTTTGGATTATCCAATGAATAAAGATAGGCAAGTTTCATACAGAAATTACAAGAAACTGTAGGCTTTAATGAGTTAATCTTTCAAATTTGTTGAACATCTATTGAAATTTTCTGTTTAATCATTATATGTTACATTTGAATATCCATAAAATACATATAATATTTGCATCTATATGCATATATGTATATATGCATTTGTCGTAAGCTATATCTACATATATATGCATACATGCCGTTTATTTACATAAATTCAGAAAGGAGATACTATATTACTTTTTCTCCTCAATTTCTTTTACTAAAAAAAAGGCGGTGAAATTTTATAAATTCAATTATACATGTATCCGAATAATACTTTACAGTTACAAGTCTATGTCGTACTTGCATAAAAAGATACATTTTTTTCGAATTTCTTATATAATAATGCTATTATTAATAATATCCAAAATTCATTGATTTTGATCCTTTTATATGTCTATTCAATCTACGTCGTGTATCCGCACTTCGTATACATCTTACACGAAGATATATTGCCACGTAATTAATAAGCACTAAGTCGATGATAAATTTCCTATTAATACAATCTCTTTTGTTGCGCGTTATGTTCCGCCGAACAAAACAATTAAAAACTTGTTAATTTATAAATTATACCAAGTGTCCACATACAGAATTGACGAAAGATGGTCATATAGTTTTTTATAAACCCTGAACTCTTGATCTTTCCCCGACAAAAATTTCGAGGAAGATTAACGTTTTTATATTTACTAAAAAAAAATCGACATCACACATCCCATAAGAAATTACGTTATGCCTCCACTTTTCGCCAATACCAGAACACTTTCTATACTTGATCTTATCATAATCATTGCACAGAATAATCTTCCTATTTTATACAAAGTGACATGGCTCTATATTTAAAACTGGATTTAACAATAGCACATTATAGATTATTCTATTATGACTAGTTTTATGCATCACTAAACTTCATTCAATATTCGTTATATAAGAAAACTCGCAAAGCATTCGTGCTTAAATTAATTTTTTATCATATGTGCATGAGAAATGTTTAAATATTTGTCATAATTATGTCTCATTCGACATTTTTCTCTTCATATACAGTGGCATTCTATATCTCATCTTGAAATGTGCATATATATACACATGTCATATGTGTAATATATGTTTATATATTATATGCTACAATTCTCGAATAAAGGAACCTGTATTTAGTACATCGTTTGGTACAAATGTTATTTGAATGTTCCTATTGTAAATGTTTCTCACATACATACACATCCTTTCGACTCGCATCTACACACATATACTCATATACGCAGTTTCCCAAATTCTCTGCATATCTTTTCATCTATAGATTCCCTGATAAATTTGGGATGCATTTTTTAAACAAAAATTTTACTTTTTAACATTCAATTTTAAATATTTTTAATAATAATAAAAATAAAAATGTGTAATTTATA